AAGAAACGACCTGCCACCCGTTTGCTCGGCATTGATCGGCCAGATCCGCATACCGCCTGTCCTTCCGCGAGTTACTGACACTGAATCTGTCCTCAGCACAAACTGTCAACTCCATCCAGAATACAATCCTACGACTCGTAGAGTACAGAACTATATCTGGTCTTAGGGTGGTAAGTGCAACACAGCTAGGGAAAGAAATCTTTGCACTAACTGAGTCGACAAGAAGTTTCCAGTCTGAGGCCGCTGACAGGAGATCAGTCGTAACCAACTTTCGTCTGGGCTGAACGCGAACTGGCTTCTCTCCCGCCTTGCAAAACGAGATGAAGTCAAGTTCATTTGAATTTGAGAGAGAAAGAGAGAGAAAGAGAGAGAAAGAGAGAGGGGGAGAGGGAGAGGGAGAGGGAGAGGGAGAGGGAGCGGGAGCGGGAGCGGGAGCGGGAGAGCTGGCGAATAGCCAGAAAGAGCATTACGAGGTACATTGGTATACCGTATATGTCTCCATTACTAGCACAGTCTCTAATACTAGCACACTGTGAGCACCTTTTGAAACATTATAAGCACAGTCTCTATTATTAGCACGGTCTTGGTGGAAATCAATGCTGCATGCATGATATCTAGCATGTAATTCTTCTTGCTCTGTATGGATTGTATTAGTTGAAAAAATATAAGCACGGTCTCCAATCTAAGCGCGGTCTCCAATATAAGCGCGGTCTCCAATATAAGCACAGGGTAGAGGGGTGTTGAAAAAAATATAAGCACGGCGCTTATAATAGAGAATATACGGTAATTATAGGCTTGGTACATAAGATAGCACATCCGAAATAACTGTGCTACTTACAGTCTTACACCAAAATATTATGTAAGCAGGCTAGGCAGTCAGGACTTGACTGCTCAAGGAGAAAGAAACCTAGAGGATAGACACAATGAAATTAAAGGCTCAGACAAAATGGAACAATCGTATGGATTTCTTCTTCTTCTGGAAACGAATACTGGCCGTTTATAGTATTGACCCTGGTACAAACTTAAATAGATAAAACCACCTCTCTCAATTGCTCTTTCTGAAAAGTGGTTACCTTGAAGCTCTGCATTCTTTTCCCTCGCGTCCATCAATTGCTCCTGGAGATCAGCATTCTCGACATTCTCCCCATCCAAATCCTACCGCAATCCACCGGACTTTGCTTTCCGATTATGAAACAGTTTACGCAGCCTTTTACTGCTTTATCTGCAACCCACTTCTTCTTTGTAACCTACTTTGTAACTTCTCCAGTTCTCTATTTTCCTCTTCGATGTTTTAGCTCTGTACGTCGGTCAGTCACCTGCAAGCTTTTTTCCTTTCCCCTCTCCTTTACAAATTTACAGTGACGGTTGTGGCATGTACATTTTCATCCAGCAACTAGTCTAGACTATCTCTCTGGCAGTTGATGGCACTCACTTGCCAGCTTTAATACACATCTCTACACCCTTACCGCTGATCAAACACACTTACCCTTGCACACACCACTTTACCACATTGCTTCCTGCTTTCCGCTCTCAATGTGCCTTACTTATGGTTAGATGCTAATGCAAGTGCTAGTGCTGCACTGCTGCTGATACATGTGCTAGTGTATTCTGAAGTACCCTGATCCAGAGTAGAGCGAGGCCTTAGCATGTGAGCACATGCGGCTAAGATGGGTGGCACAGTATTTTAAGGTTGCGACGATTCCGTGTCTTTCTCTGCCATGTGCTGTGCTTGCAGACCCCTTCCTGTTGAGTCACAATCTAGCCGGTGGGCTCGCGTACAGAAGTAAGTGGGCACGGCAAGTGGTTTTCTTCTGTCAATCCACATCTCAACACAGGGATGTACATGTACACTAAGTGACTATGGGAGAATATCACACAAGATCTGGGGGACATCCCCCCCCCCCCCCCCCCCCCCGATTGCTAGAACCGTTCTGCAGTTTGAAAATGTTCCACCCCAGGACATCCATCTGGCATTGGGTACCTTACATTGGCTGGGAAGGCAAACGGTATTGCGGAAGGAGACATGAGCTTCGCCTTCATCGCCTGTATGTTGAGCTCTTTCTGAAAAACAATGCATCTCTAATACCTGCACCCACTGACAAAATTGAGTATGAACCACTTACAACCACTTACAACCACTTACAAAAAAAGTTTTGTAAGGATTGAAAGTTGAACTCGGAGTTAGTCATAACTCGTTACATTTTGTCCTTCTCCTTTTTTACCATAAGGATTGAAACCTCTTTTTTGTGTGTGTGTGAGGGGGGGGGGGGGGTCTCAACCAATTCAAATGAACAGTAAGCAAAATGATGTGACATGATGGGCGAGGTCACATTATGTGAACTACGGGTGTACTTGCACACACCTGTGGTGATTCTCAACCTCGACAATGTAGGATGGCCATATTTGTGGCGCCGTAGCTGGTGGCAGTTTTCCTATCATGAAGATGTTTTAAAATTCCCTATCTCTGTGGTCCTTTTTGTTCCTGGGGAGCCGGTGCATGTGTTTTTGCTAGGGGTGAAACGGTTCGGGTAAGGAACCGGTTTTGGAACCGCCAGCTGAAAAGAATCGGGTACCCGTTTCGTCAAATTTCGAACCGAAACTCGAAAAATCTCGTTCTTGTACAAATACATGTACACGTCGTCTACTCAAGATTTTAAATGTCTTACCTTACGATCCCGACTCTTCCAAAGAGTTCTCTGGTCATTATCTTCTTCGCACTTGGACTCTCCGATGTCTCATTCTTGCTCGTAAAAATGGTTTTTTCTAAAAAATAATTGTCGCGAATGCATTTTGTCGGTCTGGAGAAAAGAGTGCATGGAACCGATACCCGAACCGTGGGAAACAATGCTGGCATTCGGGTACCCGAACATGAAAAACATGGAACCGTTTCACCCCTAGTTTTTGCCATGCTTTTGTGCAAGACTGGACTGACTGTCTTCCTGGATACTCATACTCACACTTGAGCTCTGGTGACTGTTCTATAAGTTGTTTCCTATGTGCATACATGCCTATGTGTGTATACATGCCTATGTGTGTATACATGCCTATGTGTGTATACATGCCTATGTGTGTATACATGCCTATGTGCATACGTGCCTATGAGCCTATGTGCATACGTGCCTATGTGCCTATGTGCATACGTGCCTATGTGCATACGTGCCAATGTGCATACGGTGCCTATGTACCTATGTGCATACCCAATGCTGTAGACAGCAAGCTGTTTCGACCATAAAGGCCTCATCAGTACAGCTACGAGCTAAATAGGCCGAGCTACCAGCCATGGTGCAAAGGAGGCACCACAGACATTAAGGTAGCTCGTCGCTCTAGCGCCAGAGTGCTCAAACTACAAAATGTAGCGAGCATTGCGCGTACCTATGTGCATATGTACCTATGTGCCTATGTGCATACGGTGCCTATGTGCCTATGTACCTATGTGCCTATGTGCCTATGTGCATACGTGCCTATGTGCCTATGTGCATACGTGCCTGTGTGGCTGCGCTGGTGTTTGAATGGGTGTCCTAATACAGTGCGCAACTTCATTCTGGATTGCTTCGCTAACGGTCTGTATCGCTTTAGCACCCGGCCACCGGCCCTACCCCAACGTAATATACCGGTGAGTCTGTGGCGCTTTCTGGCTCGTTTTTCTCCTTTCATGCCAAATTCAGCAAAAGAGTCCGTAATAGGGTATTCACGCATGCACGCACGCACACACGGGTAAAATGGAGAACCACGGTTTTGGGAAAGTTGTTATGGAAACCATAATAATATTGGGGGGGGGGGGGGGGGGGGATGAAGAATCTCTCAGGAAAAAATTGGCAAAGCCGTGGGCGTGGGCCTCAGGGCGTTTGTCATGGGGAAATCCCAGGGCTATACGACGCACGTGCTTAGATCTCGAGAGTTCTGAACCTTAGTTGTACGTGTGCATTCCAGCCTGCATTTTCAGACAGTGCCCATGCGGCCAATCGCTCATGGCGAATGCGAAACATAGTACAGAACATGTACTACAAAAATGCAGGACACATTATTTTACTTCCCCACCACAAATCCATGTCCAAACACGCGGCCAAGGGGAAACTGACCACGGGTGTGAACGGCCACGCTCGGTTGCCTGACGGTCTGAACTTTTATCTTGTCCCATGACCTCAGGTTTTCCCGTGAGTGTGAATCCCCTATAAGCTGGCTAGAAGTCCAACCATAGCTCCCATGCATACCAACATGCATGGCCGACATTATTACTACCGGTAAATTGGTACTCCGGCATGGGCTAGCAGCCACACCTCAGATCAGAGCCATGAATCTCATAATACACTGAACTTCACTCAAAGTTCTTTCTGTTTTCAACATTTCAGTTTTTGTGACCATCATCAGGAATGATCCCCCCCCCCTCCAGCCCGGACCAATATGTTCGCCTATTTTAAAATCAGGTTTTTTTCTGAAACTGGCTCATCATTCTCGACACTGTTGCTTCTGTCCCTGGTCTCCTTCTTGTGTTGCTGCCACAGTCCTACTTTTTCAACGCATCTTACCTGCGGCCCAGCAAGGCAGCGCCGCACCATAACGGCTCCTGCCGTACTTGCAACCAGTACGGCCACTTCTCAGCAGACTGTCCAAGTAAGAAAAAGGCCTAGTTGGCGTGCTAGTGACGGGACGTGTGCGGTACGCCTGTACGCCTGTGCGTCTGTGTACATGTACATGTATCTGCATGCTACCGTGTCGTTTCTGTCTCCTGCGGATAGCAGGCATGCTTGGCGTGTCGACATGCATGTGTTCCCGTGCACGCCACCCAGGCTGGAAGTGATGAGCTGAAGAGACGATGGTGTTGCCTGAGTAGCGCATAGAAGAATGAGCAGCTGAGAAGCCAGAGTGTGCACATAGAGCAGCTGAGAAGCCAGAGTGTGCACATAGAGCAGCTGAGAAGCCAGAGTGTGCACATAGAGCAGCTGAGAAGCCAGAGTGTGCACATAGAGCAGCTGAGAAGCCAGAGTGTGCACTGTGCACATAGAGCAGCACTCATCCGACCCTTTACATGTACATATATGTACTAGTTCTATTGTTGTATGTTTTCCTACTCTGTTCCATGGTAAGTATTCGAAGGCCACTATGTTTGGTCATTGGACTTACCTCTTTATCGTATGTTGTATGTACAATTGTACATGTACCCGTGTGCTCAGGGTTTTTAACAGTTTTTTCTTACTCTTTTATGGATTTTGTGCTGCTTTCTGCTGAACATTTTCTTTTCGGTTTGACCTAATTTTGAAGTGCATGCACTTTGGGGAGCAGCCTTGCACGACCCCTGGCCCGAACCTGCACATGCATACGTATACGCAGTCCCGTGGTACTTTGTGTGTGTGTGTGTGTGTGTGTGTGCCAGCTAGTTCGGTTGGTGGGTACACTTATGCCTGATTGTGTTGTGTCGGTTGCCAACAGGCTCAGCTATCCACTCTGATTTAGCCACCCACACTAGTAGCAAGTATTACCTTCACTGGGGGCAGGGGTAACTGCAGTTGGATCCCAGGACGGATACCCTGATGCCGTCAATCCTTTTTCTGCACCTTTTCCTCACCCACTTACTGAGGTGTGGTGAGCCCATAAGTGGGATCATTTTCAAGTTCACCCAGAGTTTTGGGGGTTTCAGGGGTGTCGGCCGTTGGGCGGTTCACTAGCCAATTGAGTCATCTTTCCAAGATTCCTTTTGAGTCTCTCTACCCTCTCCCGGGGAGACCCACGTGACCAGTTTTGGCAGTGAGCAACAAGTACAAGTAAGTGTGTGTGTGTGTGTGTGTACATGTGTACATGTTTGTGTGTTTGTGTGTACATGCGTACATGTGTGTGTGTATGTGTGTGTGTGTGTGCATGCGCGTGTGTGTGTTTATATTTGTGAAGCGTGTGTGACTTGTAGCAATCCTACAATGGCATGATTGTTGTTTCCAAGCCATGCCAATTTTTCCTGGCCTGTCTTATATAGCACTTGAGAAGAGTTTGTGTTTGTGTTCACTGTTCTGTTGGTTTTGCTGTGCTACTACACCGCTGCCAGGTGTCCCCGTGTCTTCTGTGTTGCTTTGTTTGTGCGTGAGTGAGCGAGCAAACGTGCTAGTGAGGAGGAAGGGAGGGAGTTCTGTGTATTGCTTTGTTCGCCATTGCCCAGTGTTTGAAGCATTTTGATGTTGCCTGAGCAAGCGAGTGAGTGAGTGCGTAGTGAGCGAGTCAGTAAATGAGGGATCGAGAAAACTTGCCAGTGTGGAGGAGTGATTATTCTAGACTTGCCAGTGAGCCGTTGCTGATTGAATCCACAACGGTTTCTTTCTCGTGGGAATGTACTGAACGAACACGAGTGCATAAATCAATCGAATCGTACACTGTGGGCAAGCCTGCTTTGCTGTCTTCTGCATTTGGATGATTGGCATCAACATATTGTTGAAGCCTTTTGCGTCTGAGAGCCTCTTAACAGTCTAACCCCTGAACCGTTGATGGATACGAGCACACTGTGATAAGCATTCACTTCTCAGAATCTCTCTGGCTAGGCTAGGTCTAGGATTGTCAGTTCTTTCCTGGAGTGGAGGAGGAGTGAGCCATGGTGCGTGTGATGTGCAGTAGAGTCGCGGACGCCCAAGAACGTTGTGTCCAATAGCCTGGGACGTTCTTATTTTTCAGCAATCTGGCTGCGTTCTTATAGCACTTTCTTAGAAACAATTTTGGGCACCAAGTCCTTCAGCGCTCGACTCTGCTGTATACACAACCTTGGCCTAACAATATGAGTGCGTGTGTGGATATGTTGCATTAATTGATAAGGACCATTATACGTGCATATGGGCGTGCATGTGCTGGTGGTAGCCATAGCAACGGGGTGCATGGCAGTGCAGGGTGTGCTGAGGGCATCAGCTTCACTGGGCTGCTGATTGCATACAATTGGTGCAGTGACACCGTTCATCGCCTTTTGCCTGTGTTTATGCACATCCCAACTGCAGATAGACGACAGTACGAAGTCGGTGGTGAGGAAGACGACGATGGTGGCCCTGCAATAGATCCTCCTGTTCTACCACTGCCGGCCCCAGCATTGGGAGGTAACACTACAGCTATTCGGACCGGCGGTGTGCCGCAAGATAGACAACAACCCGTGGCAGGACCGGCCTCGCCTGATATCAACCAGGAACTTTGGCACTTGAAACAGCTTTTGGAGCAGAAGCAGCAGCCCCACCTCCAGCAACCACAGCAGCAGCTGGAAAGACCTCATACGCATGGGGCACATGCCATGGCAACACCCCACGCTGCAGGTACCGTAGCACGGCAACTTTCCGAGCCCATCACTAGTGGTAATGCACCTGCTCAGAACTTCGCCCATGGATACACCATTGGACTGTCCGTATTTCAGCCCCCAATGCTGCAGCAACCGGTCCTACAACATCAGCAAGAGCAGCAAGCGCAACAGGGCCCATCGCAGCAGCAGCAGCAGCAGCAGCAGCAGCAGCAGCAGCAGCAGCAGCACCAGGAGGGGCAGCAGCAGGAGGGGCAGCAGCGCCAAGAGGAACAACAACAGCAGCAGCAACATCAACACCAGGCATCTCATCATCAGCATCATTTCGCAGCAAACCCGGCTGATGGTAGATTACTACGCCAATTCTCCGAGCCTGTCTCTAGTGGAAATGTACCAGCTCAGAATCCCGGCCATGGTTATGGTATCATGGGCCAACAGCCCACATCCCATCAGCATCTCCTTCAGCAAGTGTACCAGCACAATTACCAACAACAGCAGCAGCAGCAGCTATTCCACCAGCTTTTACAACACCCGCTGCAACCTAGCCAGCAGCAGTATCCACAGCAGCAGCAGCAGCAGCAGCAGCAGCTTCAATCACAGCAGCAGCATCCACAGCATCAGCATCAGCAGCATCCACAGCAGCGGCATCCACAGCAGCAGCATCAGCAGCATCCACAGCAGCAGCATCAGCAGCATCCAGTACAGCAGCAGCATCCACAGCAGCAGCAGCAGCAGCATCCACAGCAGCAGCAGCATCAGCAGCATCCAGTACAGCAGCAGCATCCACAGCAGCAGCAGTATCCATCGCAGCAGCAGCAGCAGCAGCACCCATCACAGCAGCAGCAGCATCCACAGCAGCAGCATCAGCAGCATACACAGCAGCAGCATCAGCAGCATCCAGTACAGCAGCAGCATCCACAGCAGCAGCAGCAGCATCAGCAGCATCCACAGCAGCAGCAGCATCCACAGCAGCAGCAGCAGCATCCATCACAGCAGCAGCAGCATCCATCACAGCAACAGCCACAATAAACCCAACGATCATTGTAATGAATGTAACCTCCAACACTTCACTGTACACTAAGTGACTTGTACAGCAGGTAGTATTAGGGTTTGGTGAGGATTGAAATCGTAATTTTCAGCACTTCTGCTTCTTGAAGCCAGCCAATAGCAGCGTTGGCTTGTCTAAACAAATTAGGAATTCGGCCAATCCCGAACCTTACTTCTATGCTCTCCCTTTTTTTTAATACCATGTCAAAGTCTCTTTCTCCCTAGAATATCAGAACAGGCAAAGCAGCAGGCTGCTTATGACTTATGCATGCTCTGCGCCGGGGTTTTTAACATGTCCCTCAGTTTTTTTGTATTTAGAGTGTGCAATGTGTCATGGTGCTTTTCCAAGATGCCTGCTGTTCGTCTTTTTCTGCCGTCTTTGTCTTCTCTCTTAAGTTCGTTTAGGGTTGTAGTGGTCACAGTTGCTTCATGTATACACCTCTGCTCCTCTGCCTGCGTGTGCGGGCCTGGCAGTCACTGAGTATGTGTACGCTATGATCATGGTGAATGTGTTGATGTGGTGGCACCAGCACCAGGGAGTTGTATACATGTATAGAAAACTAGACAACTCCCTGGATGGCGTATTGTCAGAAGTAGACACTGCAGCGGGCTACACCGGGCCGCATTGATTCGTGCTCATCATCGGATACCACTTTCGCTCGTGCTCGTCATCGGATACCACTTTCGCTCGTGCTCATCATCAGATACCACTTTCGCTGTGATGCCGGCAATACATGGTGTTATGGACTCCGCTTATAGGTGGTGTGTAGCCGCAGTCCAACTGACTTACTTCCAAGGATCTAGCACCAAGCAGAAGAAGAAAATACGTGTATGTGGGTTTGGTGTATTCTGTTGCTGTCAATTGTTTGCGCTGTTGTTTGTCGCTGGTGTATCACCTGGTTTGCGTGATTCTAGGCGCTCGTATCGCTCTAAGCGCTGGCCAAGTTTTGTAAACAACTGCCATGATGTGCTCTCTATAGGGTTGATACGGTTTCACAATACCGGCAATCATCTCCTGTTCACAGTATGTTGATTTTAATCAGTTATGTTATCAAAGTTTGTTTTCCGACAGCCTGAATTTATTTTCCTTTTCGGTAAGATTCGTGCTGTTTCATAATGCTCATATCGTTCAGTTTTCCATTTTGCTCTTTCTGCATTCATATTATTATTGGCTTGTGCGTTCAATAAAACGCGTTCGTTTTAGTAGTAGTACCAAGAGTAGACTCTCCTGTGGCTTATCAAGCAATTACACGTCTTGTAGTTACTCTTGGCAAGAGTGGATGATGTACTCTTGGTCTTGGTAGTACCACTGATGATGCCTTGTAGCCGGCCTTGTAAGACCCGAGTAGTACTAGTACTAGTCAACTGCTTGCTAGAGTAGCCTACTTGTAGAACCCTGACCCTATCATGTTAGAAGGCAGAGCTAGCTAGGATCTGTGTTGTTGTTGTTGTTGTTGTTGTTGTTGTTGTTGTTGTTGTTGTTGTTGTTGTTGTTGTTGTTGTTGTTGTTTTCAAATCTTTATTCTCACGATAGCCAGTGGCCAATACGTGTGTGTGTGTGTGTTGTTGTTGTTGTTGTTGTTGATGATTTTTATTTTACTTTGCAAGGCCAAACGGGCAATGGTGCCCAATTCTATGGAAGCGAATTTCAAAGCGGGAGAGAGCTACGGGGAGAGAGAGAGCCTCGGAGAGAGAGAGAGAGAAGAGAGAGAGAGAGAGAGAGAGAGAGAGAGAGAGAGAGAGAGAGAGAGAGAGAGAGAGAGAGAGAGAGGGAGGGAGGGAGGGAGGGAGGGAGGGAGGGAGGGAGGGAGGGAGGGAGGGAGGGAGGGAGGGAGGGAGGGAGGGAGGGAGAGAGAGAGCCGCTGAGAGAGACTGAGAGAGAGAGAGAGAGAGAGAGAGAGAGAGAGAGAGAGAGAGAGAGAGAGAGAGAGAGAGAGAGAGAGAGAGAGAGAGAGAGAGAGAGAGAGAGAGAGAGAGAGAGAGAGAGAGAGGGAGAGAGGGAGGGAGGGAGGAGGGAGGGAGGGAGGGAGGGAGGGAGGGAGAGAGGGGGGGGAGACTGAGAGGGGGGGGGGGAGAGGGAGGGAGGGAGAGAGAGAGAGAGAGAGAGAGAGAGAGAGAGAGAGAGAGAGAGAGAGAGAGAGAGAGAGAGAGAGAGAGAGAGAGAGAGAGAACGTTGGGGACATACTGCTTATTGCGATTAGATCATAGGCTTGTTATAACCCTTCCTCTTCTCAATCGATATGTTGAATTATTTTGCAGAATATATTCCCAGTAAGCCATGAACGGAGACCCCCTCGACTTAGGCTAAGTAAGTAGTTAGGGCCAGGCTATAGGCCTACATGTAGCTCTCGGCCTTTGCCTTTGGGGAATCCATAAATAAAAAATTATAAAAAATAAAAAATACAAGAAAATAGGCTACGTGTCTTTTCATGGCATGTCATTAGTGAGGTTTTGCATTCCGAAATTCGGCAAAAAGATTCGGCACGCGGAAGCGAGGTCGAAAATGCACACGAAGATTTGGAGTGTTTGTTCGGAAAAAGCTCACTTTGCCGAAAATATTTTTCGGATGCATTTTCTTGTAGAAGAGCGCTAGCGCGTGATTTATTCAAAGAGGTTTCTTATCTCGGCATCGCTTGGCAGGTGTCTTTGGCGACATAGCATCGTCAGCTACCTCTGACTGCTCCTCTCCACTGCCTGTCGATTCTCTTTCGCCTGGAGTGTCCTCACCGTCTTCTGTGTGGCTGAAAAGACTATGGCGACACGCATAAAATTTGACTTGGCCATGGAGTTGGTTTTTCTGAGGCGACTGAGGAGGCAGGTTTGGCCCTCGACTCTTTGAGCGATCAAAGTTCGTTAACCGGGAATCAGCAAGAAAGGGAGCACGGGACAGGACGTTGCTGATGCTGGGGCTCACGAAATAAAAACACATCATTTTCGACTTGCAAAACAAACGTTGGTGCGAAAATTCGACATTTTGATGTTCGACAAAAGACCGAAGAACGCCGAACCGAAATTCGGAATGCAAAACCTCACATTGTCACACATTCGCTACTGAAAAAATCATGTAGATTTATGTGTGAGGGATCCGGGAGTCGTGTGTGCATGCTGGTTGCTGAACCAAAATGAACAGAAAATTATTTTGAAAAGTTTTCAAAAATGTGATGTTTTTCTATAAGTTTTGAGGTACATGTTGTTGACTTCATACCACTGTTCGGCTCTCGTCCTTGGTGGTGAGGTTGGATGAAAGTACATGTACAGTACATCTCTCTTTTGGACTCCAGAGTTGTGCAATTGATTTGCGTCCATCCATTTTCAATGGTAAGTCTCTGGCTTCTTTCAAAGTTCGCTTCCCACGATTATCATTTCAGGGATTGCATTGTTCTCAATGTCAGTGGATTGGCTGCTTTTTTGTTTTATGGAAATCCAGGAGGAAGTATCAGCAGCCGCATGTACATCAGGTGAGGTACCATGACAGTGTATGTAGCTCAGTATCCGTCGGAATGGGATGCCATTTTAATTATTTCGTGTTACTAACACTATTTTTTTTAAATTTCATAAATACATACTAGTACCCATACATCTTCACAACACTCTCCAAACGGTCTCGGGGCTGCACCAATGACTAACAGAAAAATCAATCATATTTTCTTTTAGTGATTGGTGTAGCCCAGAGACCGTTTGGAGAGTGTTGTGAAGATGTATAGTGGATGGTTACAGTGGAGTCTTCGCGTTTTGAGAAATCACTAAAAAAACAATGAATAATGTTATTTACCGTGCAGTCATAAGATTGAAATATGAAAATATAAACTGTCATCCAGAACAGTTTCGCGCGTGACCATCATCAATCGAATTCGTCACTTGGTCAACAATAGAGGGGTTTACACGTAGAGCAAGAAATAGCAGTGGATACAACTAGCGTAGATGACATGTGTGTTTAATTCCCGTAGCTATGCAAAAGACGTTATTTCAGTAACATCTGGCGCTAGCCAGGGTCCACACCACTTTAATTCCGTGTTTGTTTGTGCCATTGACATGCCTGGCGCTATCCCGTACCTGCCCGTACCGTACCTTACCATCAAAGACAGTTGGCCACAATATTCAAATAGGGCTTTCAAATGCAAGATATAACATGAAGTAACTTGGAAGAATGAGTATGTATGCGAAGTGTATCGGGGGGAATGCATGGAGGGCGATAGTGCGGGTTCTAATCCTAAGTTATGTCTTGAAAAAAAGAAGGAGAAATGAACAATTTATAACATCCCTATGCTTTTTGTGCCTAGGTCATCAAGATGGTAGACGGTGTCGTATTACCCTCGAATGCAAAGAGAAAGTTTGATGTAGCCAATCAATGGAAAAAACTAACATTTCCATCAGTTCTAATAACATGCATGATGAACTAGGCAAAAAAGCATGGCGTAGGGCCCTGAGCTTCCAAGCTCTCTCGTTAATACCATGTTGTGTGTGTGTGTGTGTGTGCGTGTGTCACAAAGTACTGTAAAGTAGCGTTGATCCGGCCCATGTTGAATTTCCACCTGCGAAGCGACTTCAGCGTATAAGTCGAAACACAGTGTTGAACTGACACATGCACTGTTGTACACAATACGATTACGTGCCAGTGCATGTATACTTGTGGATGAAAGTGTGCACAATCCAGCATGACCAGTCTGATCTTTTGTGTAGTTGTACATAGTACTGCAAGTGACAGACTTGTTCTAATTCCCGCCCCCTGTCGAAAAATTAACTGGTGATTGACACAGCGTGGGGAGGGGCAAATCAGCAGTACAATGTACTTTATGGTAATGGCAAAAGAATGGGTTAGTGCCACACCGGTGTGTGTATAGAAATGGTGGTGTGTGTGTACTACTTGAAGAGTATGAATGATACAACACCTTCCTTTCACTGCTTGAACTGACCCTCGTCTTACAATTTGTTGTTACTGATGGTATGTTGTGAGTAGTGGCTAGCAGTGCACAAGCCACAGCTGAAGTGTCAGTCGGAGACGCGTTGAAATCAGTTCTGGATCGGATCCAGAGAGCCACCAAAGAGCACAAGGTATGTGATCTTCCCCTGTACCTGTACCACCAGGAGTACATAACCCCCAGAGTGTGCAGCTCCAGCTGTGGGATCTGCACTTCACATCACATGTCATATATGATAATTCCGTAGTCATTACTTGCACCCTGTGCATGAGCATGCAGGATTGTACGCAGTCCTGCTTTCTGTTCAACTCTCTGGTGTTCACTTTGCAGTGTTTGCCATGCCATGCGATGTGAAGTTCTGCCGTCGCAGCACTGGATAGATGTTGTGCAGGCAATTGCGGTGTGCACACGTGGCGGTTATGTACTCTTGGCACAACTAACAGAATGTGCTATTTATTTCAGTATTTCGCTGTGTAGAAGCAGATTTCCGCAGCTCTGATGCACGGAACATTATTCCTCTGTGGGCACTACGAATACATACGTAGTTCTTATAGCCTATTGTCTCGTCGTGGATTAACTTGATGTTGTGGGAGCAGCTTGTGAGAGTATTGCTAAGTGGCTTGCTTCTTAATTATTGTCTCCTTATTGACCTCCTTGTTGACCTCCCTCCTTGTTGAGTCTTTAAAAAGTGGTCCAGTACATGTATTGTGTATTACAGTAGCACTCTAAGACTTACGTATCTCCATGGGCAAACTGAACATGGACTTACTATACAAAGCACATGTGCATATACTTCTTATCCAAACATACCTCAGTAAAGGCCGATTCATACTTCATTTCGCGTACGTGAAAGTCATGGCGCGACTGTCGCGCGATGACTTTCCCGTACGCGAAATTGTTGAGCTCAGATCAACTTTTTTCGCGTAATACCTCAGTGTACATGGATCAATACACCCGTGCTCGTGACGATGTCCGTACAACGCAAGACGTTCCACTGTCATTTTGTTGCACTCTTTTTTCTTTTTCTTTTTTTTGTGCGGACCTTTTGATGCCTAATCACAAATTATTGTGTTTGGTGGGTTTTTTGTTTGTTACTGAGGAGAACTATAACATGTACACGCACTCTTCTTTTTTTTCTTAGGATAACCGTCGGTCACTGAGCGCCCCTCAACTTGTTGCAGTGTCCAAGACCAAGCCTGTTGAGCTCATTTTAGAGGCATACCAGGCTGGTCAGCGTCACTTTGGTGAGAACTACGTACGTCAACCACTACCTTTGCGTGTTTATTGTGTTCGTCCGTCTGTGTGTGTGTGTGTGTATTTGTGGGTGCTTGTAGGTGTTCATGTGGGGGCAGAAGAACAGTGTTGATAAAAAAACCTTTCCGTAGATCAATTTATTGCTGCGATCTTGCATGCTTCTGCTGTCTGTCACAGCGATGTGAGTTAGAGTGGACTTCAAAGTATTCTCATGTGCTTACTATATGCATGCCGGACATCTATGGATCCACTAATATCTAGCTGTGTCTGTACATGTATATCTCTTCCGGGCTGTTCAACAGGTGAAGGAGTTTGTTGATAAAAGCCACAATGAGAAACTTGTCAGCTTGGCACCTGATATCTGTTGGCACTTCATTGGACACCTGCAAAGTAACAAATGCAAGCAGCTGATAGGTACGTGCCACGTCTATTTCCACATGCTACTATACATGTACTCAGATGTAATTCACATACACAGGATTCTAAAATTTGTTCACACGTACCTTATATAATATAAGGAGAAGGAATAACACAAGCTTCAGGCTCTTTCCCGTTTCCAATCAATACTTCAATATTTCCACAAGCACTTTCATTGCCTTTTGTTGAGGTGGATACAGGCAGAAGAAGAAATTTACCAGTACGATGCTATTTACACTCCGTAAACATACCCTTCTTTTTGATTCATACTTATTGATCCTCTTTGGATCGCGTCAAGCTGTTTGTTTTTCCACTATCCGTTCAGGTGCACAGGGTCTGTGCGTGGTGGAGTCGATAAGCTCTGAGCGTCTTGCTACCACGCTGAACAATGCGTGTGAGCGCTGCAACGAGCGGACCGAGCCGCTGCAAGTCTTTGTGCAGGTCAACACGAGTGGAGAGGAGAGTAAGTCCTTGTGTGACTACCATGCACCAGTAGCTAGTTGCAGTAACGTTAGCTAGTTGCAGTAGCAGTAGTAGCCAGTAGCAGTGTAGCAGTAGCAGTGGCAGTGGCTCATACATCTAGAAGTACAGTGACTGAAGTACAGTGAATGTACATGTATAAACTGTATTACGCAGAAATCAGAATGAGGTTCTAACTGCAAAAACTGTTGGATAGCTCTGCCCCGGGTATTGAGTACTGTGTGAGCAGTGCAAATGGTCTACTGTGTATCTAGTACTGTGTGAGCTGTGGAACTGGTCTACCGTGTATCTAGTACTGTGTGAGCAGTGGAACTGGTCTACTGGGTATCTAGTACTGTGTGAGCAGTGGAACTGGTCTACTGGGCATCTAGTACTGTGTGAGCTGTGGAACTGGTCTACTGGGTATCTAGTACTGTGTGAGTAGTGGAAGTGGTCTACTGGGTATCTAGTGCCGTAAAGTACCATTGATCTGCCCCCTGTCAATTTTCTGCCTGTGAAGCGACTTCCGTGTATGCAACGAAATACGATGTTGAACCGACGCATGCACTGCTGTACACAGTACGTGCCAGTGCAGGATGAAAATGTGCGCAATCCAGAAACATTGAGTCTGATCGTCCACGTTGTTGTACATCGTACTGCACTTGACAGCCTTGATCTAATTCCCGCCCCTGCCGAAAACCCAGCTGGGAAGCGACATGGTGTGAAGGGGGGGGGATCAACGGTACTTTTAAAGCTGCCCTCTTCTGCAACAGTTCTTGTCAAAAGCCATTCTCCTCACTGTACTTCATTGATGTGTGTTTCTACTTTCTATCCTCGCTTCATCGGTGCTACAGACAAACATGGGTGCGCACCGCCGGATTGCGTTGGCCTCGCTCGTCACATCATAGAGCACTGCGAGCAGCTGAAGTTCTGCGGCCTCATGACCATCGGAGCGCTGGCAAGAAGTCGAAACCAAGATAGCAATGCTAATGAAGATTTTGAGGTATGAACATGTAGACAATGTGTTTGGCTTGTGTGAATCTTCTCACTCACACACACACACACACACACACACACACACACACACACACACACACACACACACACATACACACACACACACACACATACACACACACACACACACACACACACACACACACACACACACACACACACACCACACCACACATACGCACACACACGCGCGCGCATGCACACACACACACACAGTGTTCGGTACGTTCCTTACGGTCGTCCGTTATGCACTCTGTACGCCGTTGTGCTTTTTCTTGCAGTACATGTACCCGCGCAGTCTTTCACATTCAGTTCTGTACTGTCTGTTGTTCTGTGTATACTCAGTGCTTGGTGGCATGCAGGGAGAAGGTCAGTCAGGCGTTGAGCATCCCAACTGACGATATTCAGCTCAGTATGGGCATGACAACGGACATGGAGCAAGCGGTGAGTGATGGCAATACATGTTCTGCCTTGTGTACTGAGTCAGGTATTACAGACGTTTTTAAAAGAAGGTGGCTGCTCCTAACATCGGAGCTTGTGCTTCCAGCCAACTGACTGACACTCGGCAAACCTGCAAGAAAGCACCCCTCCGCCCTGCCCCATGCACAGAAGTATGCTATTGCTAACAATTTGACAACCCGCAATAGGGCCTTGCGTGAAGTGTGACGTCAGGTCCTTGACAACTTCGTAGCAACTGGGTATGCGCGGGTACAAACAACCACTGCTTCCCCCCCCCCCCCCCCCCCCCCCCAGCACGTGGTGTTTTGCACTGAAAATTTCAAATTTTACAATATGGCTTGTGCACATTAGAGTAGACGCCTCACCGGCACGAAGTACTCGATATCCTTTAATTTTCCTTTCGGGACACGAGTTTGCTAGCTTTGTCCTCCTTTCTGCAGGGCACTGTAGTGGAGTGACTTGCATGAAATTATAAAAAATCGGGGTGCGAATCCTGCACTTTGTATTGCCTTTCCCGATGAGCATGGAGATCGATCCGTACGTACGTCGTGCATGCAGGTAAAGTGTTCTTTCGCGGACTGTGAGAAGTGATTCTTTGCGCTGTATCCTTTCTCGTGACTTCGGACATCTGAATTTGCTCTCTTTACGTGGCGGAAAGATGCTGAGGCCAGCGGGAATTGATCTCTGAAATATTTTCGCCAGCTCGTCGAAGACCCTTTGTTTCATCTTCGAAATACTGGGAAGACTTAACAAACCTATCAGCAAGGGGTACCTACATATAGAAAAGCTGTTTACTCAAGCATTGATTCCCACCCATCAGAAACCTGCATATTTCTGCAAAAACAGTGAAGAGCAAGGGGACTAAGTTTGTTTGCACCCAAAAATCTCGTTGGCATGCGTTGTCAAGTACCGTAAAATACCGCCAGAGCGCCCCGTCTCTCCCATCCGTCCCTCTTGTCAGGGACGTGATCCTCGTATGACTCTGTCACAGTCTGTGATGAAACACGAAAATTTGAGCTGTACGCAAGTCGCGGCTTGACTGACCTCATCAGGGTGACGTAGTGACAAACTGCACTGTTTCAGATCTGATATGCACAGTTGCACACTCTGGTTTATGTACTAACGTGCTATAAGAACGCAGCCAGATTGCTGAACATCCCTTGGAAACAACGTTCTTGGAAGCGGCACTGCATTGCTGTGGAAAAAAAAAACGTGATGTCTGTTTTGTTTATTCTACAGATACAACACGGGAGCACCAATGTACGCGTGGGAACGGCTATCTTTGGATCGCGAACATATTGTGATTAACAACAACAAATTCATACCAAACCATACAAAGTAGAATCACATATTACTGAGCAAGAGAAAAGTGTATGAAACACGCCATGAAATTGCACACTGGCAAAAGCAAATACCTAGTTGCTGTGAAAGAGCTTGAGCATGCATATTTTCATGGCTATTGACAGTGTTATGTACAGCACTATTATTCATGTAGCTGTCTATACATTGATGAGATCATTCCAATTTTTTAAACATGGTTAATCAATCAGCACAGTATATTTTCATCTCTTTCTTGCGTATCTGGCAGTGCTGTCGGATGCTGTGGGTGGTGGCGGGGGACCACGCTGCTGCAATTCTTTCATGTGTGCTTGAAGCATTTCGTCTCTTTCCTCTGCAATGGAGTCCATAATCAAGTGGCGACTGTCTTTCTACAATGCCAGGAAAGTACAGAGAAGAAAATGCACACCATATCAGTGAAACGATTCCTTCCCCAAGTGAAGTGTATGCTAGTACGTGTGACCTATTTATTACACATAAATTTACACCACATAGCATACTACTCAAACTCTGGACTGGCAACCTGACCTGAAATTCCACATAACACATATCATGTAGCCGAAAAGTGCACAGGCAAACTGCAGGAAGTCTTTGCAGGTGCTTCAAAAGGTTGGACATTAGGCCATGCACCCAACAAGCCTGGGTGAAGGCACGCTCTCAGCTCTATGAAGTACACTCACCTCCAACTGGCCAAGGATTTCCTTCTGATACGATTCACTGCTATGCCATAATTCTCTTGATTTGTGCGTGACAACACGTGTTTCTTGCAGGAGTTTCCGGTATGCATCACGAGCTGATGATGTCTTGTCACGGAGGAATCGCTGGAACTCTTCTTTGCGACCCTGAAAATACAGCATAGGAGCAATACACCAGTCGTCCCTCTATAATATAGTACCAAGAGTGCATAAACAAGAGTATGCAACTGTGGTGATGGGTCAGTGCGCGGCGCGCTGCCTTCATTACGTAACTTGCCTTCATCACGCTCTGAAAGCATGCATTCAAACTCACAATTTCTCGTACGAGCCCAGCCGTTTTTGCTCGATTCGTTCCAGTACCTACGCGATCTCTAAAGTCTGGCGCGTGAACTCCAGTTCCGTACGAAAGTTCATTTCAAACCAGAGGGAAAGTGCGGTGTTTGATTTTACGCAGTGCGCGGACTGCAGCTGAATGATGTAATGAAGGCAGCGCGCCGCGCATCTGGCCCATAGAAAAGAGATCACAGTTGCATACTCTTGTTTATGGAGTCTTGATAGTACTTGATAAATCAGCATAATGATCAGTAACCAAACTGTCCTCGTCATGCCCTACATTTTAGCAGTAGATCAGCTTCTTAACCCAGCGCCCTCCCTAACCAAGCAGAATTTCGGTAGCACAAGGGTGTCGGATTATAAGGGGACCACTGTTCCGAAGATGTAAAACAGGATGACCCAAAAGGAACATGTGAATAGGCCTTATGCACTTTGTACAGATGCACGGAATCCCGTAGAATCTTGTAGAATCCCGTAGACCCGGTTGGGTGTTGAATGTGCAGGACCCTATTGTGTTTACTGCTATTTCCACTATGAAATGGGCCATGAAGGCATTTCATACGAAATCTTTTTCCGGCAGAGATCTAGCTAGTCGTTAGTTCAATCCCAAAGTGAAGAAGGCTTGAAAAGTGATCGTTTGCCATGAATTGTGAGGCTAAATGGGTCAAACGCGCATGTATAGCACACAATGATCACCCAACCGGGTATGTACACACCTACGGCCCTAGTACAGAACTTCGTACATCTGTACAATGTGCATAAGGACTATTGGACGAATGCATCCATTTCCCGCCGTTAGGTTTTCCGGGCAAGTCCACTACAACCGTACACACTGTGATACCACCCCTGCTAGGCCACTCGTAAATGTACTATAAAGTTGTACCTGCCATAAATGGGGAAAGAGGACCCGCAAAAAGGTGATGGCCATCTTCGATGCATACCTCCCATTAAAAATGAAAAATTGTAAGGCACGAGAAGGAAACTTACGGGATCATTGGCAAATTTGTCGTACTTCGAATCAGAACGGATTATCTTTTTCACTTCCTTCCAGGTTGTTCCAAGTGTCAGCTGCACCAATGAAGCAACACAGTACAAACAAAACATACATTACAGGATGATGGATTCAGGAGCAAAGTGAGCATTGCACACATCTCTAACATCCTATCAATGGGTAGTCAGCAAGTGCAGCAGTAAGATCAAGCATAACCCGTAATATTGAATTCAAATGTACTGCCACGTGTTTCTAACAACGCCGGACACGAGCACATAGCGGTGTTGCAGATACACACAACAGAGAACTATAATGTTCGCTCACGCTTGACACCACAGCACAATATGCACACCGAAGCATGCATGTACCGTAGCAACGCCTATGGAGAGCGGAAAATGGCATAAAAAAAGGAACCACAGGCCCAGACTCACCCCAGGGATTTCATTCAACAGGCGATTGTAGTATGTCCGCTTCCTGCTACGCAAATCAGCGCAGTGGTCATCAAATATCTTCTCCTTCCTTTCCCTTGTAAGCGCATCAAGGTTCTTCCAGCGATGGTCACGGCGAAGTACAGATCCAGCGGCGTCCCAGTCTGTACTAGCATCCCGTACCTGAGATAGAGCAAAATAAAACATGGACTTGGACTTGACTGCAAGACAAAGAAGTGAAACAATCGACAGAACCTTCAACTGAAAATGCCTGGGGTAAAATAGGAATGTACTGCCATGTGTTTCTAACAACGCCGGACACGAGCACATGGCGGTGTTGCAGACACACACAACAGAGGACTCTAATGTTCGCTCACGCTTGACACCACAGTACAATGTGCACACCGAAGCATGCATGTACCGTAGCAACGCCTATGGAGAGCGGGGTGGAAACATGGGATTCAATCAGGAATATGTAATTCGATTGGAAATAAGTAGTCAGCACAGTGTGGAATGCAGACTCGTGTTGGCTTACACAGTGCTGCTCAATGAAACCCAATTGCCAGTTCACAATCCAGTGTTCGCAGGTCAAGAGCTGCACACCACACGGCGCTTTATAGGATTTCAACAAGCAGCACAGTACATTGAATACAATACGAGAGGTGACAAACTCCCGAGTTAGAACATACCAGGTCAGCCAACAAGGCCTTCATGGCTTGCTCAGCCTCTTCTTTGATGTGATTAGAGCGACCGATCTCCACTTCCCGCTGGTGCTCGCTTCGGGCAAGCTCGACTTGGCGTGCTCGCTCCTTGATGCTAGCTGCGATCCTGTCCTCTCTCTCCCGCTCTTGCATTTCCTTAGCTTCCTTCTCCTGTAAAGAGGGAAAGCGTGACAAAATACAGGGTTTATACTCCAAGCGGATAAACAACTCAACATACGATACACAACATTGGCTCAGTAAAAACAAGTGGCTTCATATGGCATATACCATTCAGATAGAGCTAATAATCAAAACATCATGGCCAAAATATGGATACGAGAATCGCAGCCAATGTCACACTTACATCAATCAGACGCTGACGATACTTCTTGAAGAGCTCCTCGCGTTTGTCAGAACCATCGACTACATGGTAACGGTCATCATCCTTGAAGTCGTCTTTGATTTTCTTCCAATGTGATCTAGCAGACAAATTGGTGTCCTCTTTTAACATTTGAAGGAACTCTTTCTCCGCCTGCATTCACACAAGGCAAAAAATGACCATAGTTAGATCAAAATAGTTGACCAAAAATTGTCCAAAATACAAGGCGAACACACACATGAAAGTAACTGGAGCTTAGCACTGTTTCCTACTGACAGCAAATAAAGCATTTGCAGTGTGAGTGAACAGCAGATGCAGTGATTATGAACTGCAAACTGCAGTGCCCTGGAAATTAAAATACAACATTAGTATTTACACATGATTACACTCTCCCCCCCCCCCCCCCCAACAGACACAAATAGTTGCGTGAAATCAATAACCAGATGTCCCATTCCCAACCACACACGCAGAGAGATTGAGAGAGACTACAGCAGTCAGTACAGGAATGAAGGAGAGAGGTGTTTTTAAGCGGTGACAGTTGGAAGGTTAGACGAGCGGCATAACTGGTGGGTAACTCACCATAGCAGGAGAAACAGACTGAGTGGTTTTGACAGTTTGTCAACAAGCAAACTAACTGCATACAAGCGACCTGAGCCATCAGGCAGACCTTCAGAAGTACATGTCACACAATAGGCTCCATAGCATCAACAACACCACACAGGACAACAATAGAGCAGCAATAGAACTTTGGCAAAAAAGCAACCCAAAAGAATGCTAGGTAGATGCAGGACAGAATCACAGCACAACCCCACAGGACATTGATTCTACACTGCTGACGCTAAGGAACCAACTAGGAACCAACAAAGCAGAGATCGCATGTCCGAAATGACTCAAAGTCATCAGGCACTAAAGAGCACCATGTGCAGTGGAAACCCAAAGGCGCAAACGCGATAAAAATCTCTGTCAGACCTCAGTAAATGCCGATTCCCAGGAAAAGCAACGCCTACAAATGAAGATCGCAGAAATCGCTGTCATGCACATTCAACATTCGAGAGTTTCCACTGCACACATGGCACTGTGGGTGATAAACTGTGTCTCACCTTCTCTGCAGAGCTCGCCTCTTCATTGCGAATTTTCTCTAGACGCTGCAATTGTTCTTCAACGAAATCATGGAAGAGGTTCTCGCGTTCCTTCATCCTGTCGATAGCCTTGAACCGCTTATCACGCCCATGCTTCATAGCAAAGTCACTGAAAGAAGCACGTCTACAAAGAAAGAAACAATAACAAAACAAAATGCACTGTCAAGAAATATCACACAAACCAACAAGCACTGCATTGCAAAATTGTGACTCTGCTAGGAAAGCAACAGAGAGAACAAAAAAGACATACTTTGTGGAGATATCAGCTTCCTCTAGAAGAGTCCGGAAGTCAGCGCGTTTTCCCTTGTGCTGGTCTTTCTTTTCTTTCCGCTCCTCCTCGGCACGTGTACGCAAGTACTGGTCAAAGGCAACCTTGCGCTCCTTAGCACTTAGCAACAGGTAGCGAATGTCACACACCAGCTTACTAAGCTCCCTCTCCCATGTGGAGAATGCAGACACCTACAAGTCAAACAGAACAGCAAGCAACATCTGCTTTAGCAAACTGAAAGAACAACATGCACAGCAGGCTTCTGACAATCGCATTAGAAAGTAGTAGCTGGTGGCAGTCAGTGTAACTATGACAAATTGTACAGCTCACAGATGCAAGCATGGTCAAGACGACGCATGCTAATGCATTCACATATACAAGAAAAACATCATCATCCCGCCACCAGTCAGGACTACACTGCAGAGAAGCTAGACATGCAAAAGCACCCAGAAGCACTTTACTCCACTAGAAGAGTACGAGCTCTGGCAGTGATGTGTTGGCTGTTCTGGGCGGAACAACTCAACAACCAAGACCCGCTAAGAAAACAAAGTGATACCTTTTTCTCTGCAAGCAAAGCTTTGAACTCTTGCTGGCGCTCCTCTAGTGTCAACGTTGCACGCATGCGCTGTGCACGCTGCTCAATCGTTAAACCTTCTTCCTTTGGATCCAGAGACGTGTCAAGAGCAGGCCTTAGACAACACACACAAAGAGAGTCAACAATACCTGTTAGACCCAATCTAATACATATTCAAGTTAACCACATAGAGCACATGCAGTCAGTGTAACTATGACAAATGTACTAGGTTCATAAAGGCAAGTATTGTCAAAACAACAAATACAGGTGCCATCACCGAGTAATAAAGTCATCATCCTTCTTGCAAGAAAACACGAGCACTGTTGCACACCACACTTCACACCTTTTGGCTGGTGGCTCGCCCGTGGCATCTGCTGGACGCTTGGTTACTTCAGCTTCTCTATCTGCAGCTCGTCGTGCCGCTTCTGCAATCAAAGCACACATAGGCGAAAACAAATGGTAGTGAGAATATATTCCCAAATTGAATGTAGACAACATCGGATGGGCAAATACTCCCAACTCGTCGTCACCGTTCTACAAACTTCGCAAACGTAGGAAATTCTGGAACATTACATCAGAGCCTGGAAAACAAGCATACAAACCTCAATTACCTTGTTCTGCTCGCTGACGGGGAGTTTTCATCAATTCCTCCAAATTATCAATCCCCTGCAGCTCCTCAGGGATAGACCAGAAAGACTGACTGTTAGACTGGTTGAAGAAGAAGACACGATCATCGCTGGTGAAGACAATAACCCAGGGAGCATGGCCTGGAACAGGTTTGGTGGCAATGGGGCGTGTAGGCTCAGATGGCTTCTCATCTTTCTCATCTGCATCCATCTTCTCTTCACTGCCGTTTTCTTCACTCTTGTCTGCGTCTTTGTCTTTCGGCTCATCAGCATCATCTTTCTTCCTGTAAAAGATAAATAGTCAGAGCGACAAACACAGTTAGAAAGCTAGCAGAGATGCAGTGGTATTGGAAATAAACAATCTGAGTTGCACTTTTATACAATGCATCAGGAATTGATGTGAACCACTACCTTTCCATTCTGCTGCACTGTACACTCTAGAAATGATGTAAAAAAATACTTTAAAATAGCAATGTACAGCCATGTGTTTCTAACAACGCCGGACATGAGCACATAGCGGTGTTGCAGACACACACAACAGAGAACTCTAATGTTCGCTCACACTTGACACCACAGCACAATATGCACACCGAAGCATGCATGTACCGTAGCAACGCCTATGGAGAGCACATCGACATGCGGGGAGGTCATCACAAATTCACAATAGAAACTCACTCGTCTGCGTCGTCCTTGCTGGCATCATCATTGTCCGGCTTGCCGGAGGTAGGAGGTGGGATCGGTACCTGTGTGATGGGAGCCATTGCAGTGTCGAAGTCCTCGGGTTTCTTCCACTCTGACTTGGTCGTAAGTCGGTTGTAGTAGTAAGTGCGGCCATCGGGGTGCTTGTGCTCAGACCACACGCGTGCCTGGGCACCGGGCGGGATAGGATTGCCACCGGGTGGAGTGGGGAACGGAGGCATGGCTGCCATCGGCGGAGGGCCACCAGCCATCAAAGGCATGGCAGGACGAGGTGGCATCATCATAGGCATGGCACCTGGCGGCGGACCAGCTTGCATTGGCGGCATACTCATTGGCATACCCATTGGAACACCACCTATAAAAAGAAACACAAGCCATACATACCAAAAAGGCTTCAGTCGTACTACTTATTCACAACACATTGATTCCACTAGCCAAAGGCACATCAGATACTTGATTCAAAGGACACAACGTTGAACACTATACATATGAAGTAACACTTACCTGGTGGACCCATCATTGGCGGAGGCTGTTGCATTCCCATCGCCATCGGTGGTCCATCACTGTTACCCACTGGCTGCATGGGTGGAGGGCCACCTGACGACATGGGAGGAGGACCACCTGGGGGCGGTCCAGGGTTGGGCACAGGCGGAGGGGGCTTGTTAGGATCCGCTTGCTCAGGTCTGGTCCAGATGGTTTGGCGCGTGCGTACATTGCCGTAGTATGTCCGACCATCGGGTGCCTTGTGCTCCAGCCACATTTCACCATTCTTATCAACGATGGGAGAAGGTGCGGGCATGCCCGGACCAGGAGCGGGTGGTAAATTGGGAGGACGCATCATCACGCTTCCCATCGGTGGTGTTGGCATACCAACAGACATAGGACCACCAGGAGGCATCATACCAGGACCTGGACCCATACGAGGTGGCGGGGCCTGTGAAATATAGAAGAAAAAAAGAAACACATACAGCATTAAAAAAGGTATTAAACGGGCAAAAAAGCAAGGCGACAGATTTATAATATCAGCAAAAGATCTAAGCACAAAAATACATATGCCCAACATGCACAGAGATATTGGTTGCGAGGATAATTCTTTGCCAAATATTTTCACCACATGTCCACACGTACGTGTTGTGAGATAACGGAAAATTTACCATCATCATCCCCATTCCGGGTGGAGGTCCCTGATAGGGTGGTCCCATCGGCGGCATGTTCCCTCCCATTTGCATAGGAGGTCGTGGCAGAGCAGCATTGCCATTTCCTAAAGTTTCTGACGGCGGTGGAGCACTGTGGAAATAGAAGTGAAGAAAAATTAGTTCGGGAAGTAAAAAATAGGAACGCAGCAGTGTCAAATACCTACCTAGTAGCGGGCTCAGCCATCTCCCCAGCTGATGAGTGGAATGCGAACAATCAGAATCGGTTTTCTCCGCCTAAAAGAAGGATGATAGGACACGAAACCTTTACCGCTTCAAGAAAGGCAAGCGAGGTAAGGTGAAGTGAAGGAAGAAATGCGATGACAAGGGAAGAAAAAGATGGCGATCCCTAGCAACGCAGTTACCATGTTGGCTTCCCTAGCTATAGCTAGTGCTGATTGCGCGCAACGTCACACGATCAGCGTTCATGCGACGTTTTCTCGGACACATTTTTGAACTCAAAACCAAGGGCAAGGGAGTAGTAAAAAGTACTCATAATCATAAGCACATGTACAATTTGTATCTGTTAATTATTTGGGAAACTGCATGTCTTGTGTATTCATCTGTTCGCTCGCCCGTTGTGCCATTTGACTCTCGCTGATCGGAAGTTACTGCAGAGTTTCGTCCCACCTCTGTAGTCTTGCGGGTAAGTTGTATCGAATTCAAAGAATGAATGGAAATGTTTGATGGGCATTGGGAGTTATGTCTATTATGTGCATGCACGAATCTTGGTGTAGACCAGGGAATAGTACAATACTGTATTGTACTACTCCCTGAACAGTGGGACTCAGAGTACATGTACGTGGCTGAAGTGGCTGAAGTGAAACAATTAGAATACCAATCAGGCCCAACGGAACCGGTCCAGTTGCTCAAGTTATTACCGGATCAGCCGTTTTTGGCCACCGACAAGTGTTTCCTACTGTGGCGGTCATGTGTACCCACTATATCATACACAAAGTATAAAAGGACACAATACTACTGGACCAATCAAAAACTGCATCCGGCGGTCCTGCCAATATCCGTTCAAAATTCATTTTCGATCCGAGGTGCCTAAGAGGACATACGCCACATGGTATTGCCTGGCCGTTTGGATAGAATTAGCACAGCGTACAATGATAACAATGTCATTGAATAGATTTCTGGTTGGAGGAAAGCAAAAAGCACACGAAGCACAGAAGCCATTATAATTTTTTCGACTAGGCCTTTCATTCCATTACTCTTCAGGTCGAATACAATGGTGATTAACAAGGTACTGTAGTAAGCAAGTCCTTATAACCGGCACTTTTGGCGGTCAGAACATTGACAAAAATAGCACTTGAAAAATAGCGCTAGTGACGCCAACAGCATATTTGGCGGTCAGAGCATAGACCAAATAGCACTTTAAAAGATAGCGCTAGTGGCGCTAGCTACACAGTGAGACAATGAATATTACCAGTATCAGACAGCAGTGGGGACCATGGTACTACAATGTCAAAACAGTGACAACTTTCGCACATACTTCTTTTGCACGCACAGTTCAGGCGGCAATGTACACTGCCTCCAGCACAGCAAGGTGAGATTTGTTGTGCGCACGCGCTTGAATCGTGAAGTGAGAGTGGGTGCCATGTTTGCAGACTGCACTTAGGCAGGCTGGTGACGATGTCAGGTGACGGAGTATCGCTGAGTCCTTCTCATTATCGTCATTGTCCGTTGGTCCATTCCTGTGGTAGCTATTGTGCATCGCAGTTGTGCCGCTGGCGACTTCTCTGCCGGGCGAGGAGTCACACACTGTTCCACATGCCGATCCTGTATCAGCCGCTTGTTGCAGAGCGTTGTTGCGGAGACGCAGCCATTCACTTCATCTCGTGACAGTTGCTGGTGGTTTGATCGGTGTTGATTTTCTTCTCCCTTTGTTGACAGTGACGGTAATGTCCTTGACTGCTCGGCTTCTCCCTGTCCTAACCGGTGTTGTTGTTCCTGTAACTGTCCGTACGAGCTTGTTGGGGATGTGCTGCTCTATGCGATCACCCAATCGTTGTGTTGTCCTGCCAATGTACCTGTGGTCACACTCACAGGTGAATAGATTAATGACATTACTTAAATACGTCATTAGTTATAAGGACTTGCTTACTACCCTGCTAATCGCCATTGTATTCGGCCTGAATAGTAATGGAATGAAAGGCCTACAGTCCATTTCAAAACTATAGACGCGTGAACTCATACGTATGAGCCGTACGTACTGTAGCGCACGACAGCCGTGAGTTTTGCATTAGTGTTTTCTGGTTTTCAGATGTGTTTTTCAGGTTTTTCTTCGTCGCCGCGGGAAATACAAAAGATGCAAAACACGCAAAGTCGCAAATGAAAAGGTTTGAGGAAAGTCTCAAAAGAAATGAAAGTCTCAAATGAATCTTCTTCTTGTTTGCATTTTCTGAGTGCCCGACTGTAATGGCTTCCAAGGCCCGTAAGAATCTCAGTGATGCCGAGAAAGATATGATTAGTCGTGTTCATTGTTTCTTCGAACAAGAGCTGGATTTTGATTGACGCTTGAGTATCCGAAATCCTCGTCGTCGAACTCACCTTGCAACTGGCGTGAGTGAAACCACTGTCACTCGTTGTGTCAGGCGAAGGGAACAGGGAGGCTCAAATCAAATCAAAAAGAGAAAATATAATTATCATCTCTACTGTATTTCACCCAACAAGATCCAAAACATGCAGAAAAGAAGAGAAAAAAAAGGCAGGAGGCGTGATGGGATTCGAATGCCCCACACTTTAGTCCATCAGCCAAGAACTCGGAAGTTGTCAAATTCAAGCACCCTGTTGCACTTAGAAATCGAATACTTGATTTTGGCCCCAATGGGGAGTTTAGGTACCCTGCACACCGAATCCGCAAAGAAAAAGAGTAAACGACTTGCACGCTCTGCAGGGGGAAGCCGACAAAGTGACCTTTTTTGGCATTTCATCGACAGCCATTGTTGTGACCTAAACCCAATCTCCAATCAGTGCCATGCGCGTTTCAGGAGTGAACTTTTAGATTTTTGTGAATTACGGGGAAAATCTTGCAAATCGAGAAGATTTGCAGTGTAAACCATTGCAGATTCCGTATTACACATGTGCCTGGATTCAAATTACCGTATTTCCGCAAATAAAAGACCGTCCTCGTATACAACGCCTTCCTCGTTTACAAGGCCGGGGCAGGGGGCGATTGAAAAAATAAAAGACCCTCTCCGATAAGAAGACCGGGCCTACTAAATGAGTCTTTGTTCTTGTGTTAAAAATGGAAGACCGTGCTCAAACTGTGGAAAAAAATAGAAGACCGTGCTCAAACTGTGTAGAAGAAAATGGAAGAACGGGGGTAAAACCGTGTGTGGCGAGAAATAGAAGACCGGGGTCAAACTGGGTTGAAAGAATAAAAGACCGTCCTCGAATACAAGACCGTCCTCGATTATAAGGCCAGGTTAGGGCGAGGTTGAAAAAATAGTAGACCGGCCTACTATTTGTGGAAATACGGTACAATAAAATTGTTGTTCGCCTACTTGTAGAGTGTTGTTCCATTACACATCTCTTTCACCGTTCTATTTAATTGAGCATCCGAATACATACCTTCAGGAAGATTACAATGAGCTAGTATTGAACATCATCCACCTTTGGGTTTCCGAAGTATGCACCCCGAGTCGTGTCAAGCAGGTTTGAAGCGTAGTTTTTACTGTTTGGCAAAAGTGATCTACGCTTCCACCCTGAATGGAATGGAAGGTCCTGATCCATGGAAAAATAGGGAACTGGAGAGCTAAAAGTAAGGAATCTGCGGCGATGGATGTTGTACATCGAATGAGTGCCCTGCAGTTCTCTTCTCCATTACGACCAACTAGCAAACGCCATGGCTCTGGATGCTGACATCAAACAGTTGAAATAAAGCCATTAAAGGCAAGGCTGCTTTGAGCTTGTTGCAACCAGGAAGTAGTGCAGTTACAGTTGTACTACTATCTACTTCGTAGTTGCAACGTTGAGATTCTGTATTGATACCATTGTAGTTGCAAACAAGTTACTACAACAATTGCAGTACAATAGTCATGTAGATTTTTTGAATTAGGAATGAGTTTGCTCCCACACTGGAGCTCGCGCTATTCCGCCGACTTGACTTGACACTTGACTGACTCACGACTGCCATCCAGAGCACACGAGAAGTCCATCGAACCTTCAACTCATCGCCGAAGTCGCAACCACTATTTCGTACGACTCGTACTGTTTTTTGAATTAGTTATTTGAAAATGGCGAGAATCTTCATCTTCTTTCCGGTGCGCATGTACGCATATTATTTGAATCTGTACGTGCTCCAAGCCAACTCACCTCTGCTCAAATTGACGGCGATTTATTTCGCGATTTTAGGTCGATCGCCACGGAAAACCACACCAAACGTTGACAAAACTCCACTTTTTTCACTGAAGACGCATTGGATGTCCTAATAAAACGGATGGAAAACCTCGTAATGGCTGACGAAGAAGAAGAAATTTGTCGAACTTCTAAGGCGCTCTGCAAAAGGAGTGCAAGAGTTTCGCCAGGGAAAGTAGGCAGGTCGGATTCAGTGATGCTTTTGCTGTCGATTGATGTCAGTTCCAGGTGTTCGATTTGTAAGTGCAACAGGGGACTCACTTTGGCACCACTGGCTGATGGACTACTTGTACTGGAAATCACGGATCGAAACCACGAGGCTACCAGGACCCGTACAAAAATGCACCCGCGATGGTCTGGGCGCAGCACTGTCTCAGCAGGAGCAAAAATCCGAAACAAACTGGTCAAACCTTTCAAAACAGAAATTACATGTAAAACCGGAAAACCTGGCCTAAAAATAAACTTCAATTGTAGCGAGAACAAAGTATAGCCAGAATTGTGAAGCGATGCAGAGACTGAATCTGGAGAAAAAACTAAAAATATTTAAATAAATCCCATCGAATTTTGCAAAACACTACGCGTCTATAGTTTTGAAATGGACTGTAGTCGAAAAAATTATATGGCTTCTGTGCTTCGTGTGAACAATGTCATTCGGGTGACGTCGAACGTAGTGATTCAGTAGATCTGGACGTGAGGGCACCTGGTGCGGCGTAGTTATCATTGCACGGATACAAAGGATTGTTGGAATCGAAACGCTCATGCTTCCACTGAGAAAACAGATGGCAAGTTAACTATGCATTTGTGTGTATGTGTGTGTGTGCGCGCGTGCGTGCGTGTGTGTATGTATGTGTGAGTGAGTGAGAGTGAGAGAGAGAGAGAGAGAGAGAGAGAGAGAGAGAGAGAGAGAGAGAGAGAGAGAGAGAGAGAGAGAGAGAGAGAGAGAGAGAGAGAGAGAGAGAGAGAGAGAGAGAGAGAGAGAGAGAGAGAGAGAGAGAGAGAGAGAGAGAGAGAGAGAGAGAGAGAGAGCATGCACTCATACTTTGCTCTCACCAGAAGGATGCAGCAGTGTACTATAGACAAATATTGCTTAACATCCAGACAAAAAGCAAAGTGTCGGCCATTACCCATCACCACATTACTGCAGCTACTACTTGCCAACACGTGATAGTTGTCTACAGTGCACAGCAGCAAGGTAACCAATACCAAGGGTCCCTACAAGTACATCAGCTACACCTTACCACACTACGGCTCTTGGTATTGCCTGGCTTTGCCAGCATAGCCACGCATCCGACGTCATCAACGTTTTGAATGCTTGCCTTTGCCAGGTGTCGGGTTGTCTGTACGGCGCCACGAGATGCGACATTGGAAGCAAACCAGTGAAGTATTAAATGCACGAACACACAATCTGTGGACAGCATGCTGTTTCGTTCTTTGTGAACTCATCAGCGCATAAATGCACAAACATACGCTTTCAAGGTGTCACGTCACTCACTATAATGCTGCCATGCACCTTAGGCGGAGCTCGGGAATAAACACATCCCCTGCTTTGTTTTTTTTTTTACGGAACGGGCTAGTGCCTCACTAAACAGCTACTGGTGGACACGTATTTTATATGGCAGCAGAGAGCAGCCTTCATTCACCAAGACACATTGCCTGAGCACCTGGAAGGCCACGTGTTCTCTGGTACCATCTTCTTAATTCCCACCTTTCCTTGGCTCAAAGTTGGCACTTCTTAGTTCCTCTTCTGTTCTTTCAGATTAGTGGTACCAACCTTGACCATAATGAAAGGGAAGTTAGTTGCTCGCAATGTTGGAGCTCGCAATTTCCCCAGCCAACTTGACTTGGCACTTGACTGACTTACAACTGCCATCCGGAACTCACGAGACGTCCATCGAACCTTCGATTCAGCAAACCTGCACGAAAGCACCACTCCCTGCTCACTGCACAGTGTGTTGGGAAATTCTCTCCTCATCATTTGAGTCTTGACAAGAGATCGCTATGATACAATGCTTCCCACTTGAGCAAGCCCCATACTCTGATATTTGCTTTGAAATGTATGTGTGACCCGCCAAAGATTTGCTGTGCCTTTTCGTTAGGTTAATCCTATGTTTGCTTGTTTCCTTCGCTTTCCAGTACAGTTTCGGGAGTATTCGCAAATTGCTGGTTGTTGTAAGGCGCTGTGCTGAAGAACACACCGAACAGCCTCAGCAATGCAGGTACATGTACTGTCAATGTGTCATCAACTCTCTTTCTCTCTCTCTCTCTCTCTCTCTCTCTCTCTCTCTCTCTCTTTCTCTCTCTCTCTCTCTCTCTCTCTTCTCTCTCTCTCTCTCTCTCTCTCTCTCTCTCTCTCTCTCTCTCTCTCTCTCTCTCTCTCTCTCTCTCTCTTTCTGCCTGTGCTATACGTGCGTGTATCTCTCTGTGTCTGCCTGCCTTTTTATTTTTACTGGTGATTGGCTGAACCATGTTGCTTGGCCTGTGCAGTGTAGCCTCTACCCGTTGCTTCAGTGCTTCACACTGTCTGGCAATGATGATACCCTTGATGCTTTTAAAAGTCTGGCTGAAGATTTTGTTTATAGCTGTGTCTTGTTTGCACTTCTCTTGGCCATGTGTTTGGTTGCAGCAGCCAACCAGTGCTCGGTTTTACTTCAACCAGTCAGGCAACAGCCATGCAGCGTACGATGCAGCGACCGTTGCCGACTTCTGTGGTGTTGCACCCGATACTGCCCTGGATGAGGAGAGTTCAAGTGTCCTACATGACTTTACTGAGATGGAGCGTATGGGTCTGCCGACTCACTTCCTTCCAAACCCACTCAGTGAGACCAAGGTAAGATTCTTCTTTTGTCTGCCTCGTCTACTAGCATGTTGAATACTAGTGCCCAACAGCTATCTGAGAGTCGGAATTGTCCAGAAATAGTGTGTTGAAAGTCCTATGGTGATTGCTTCAGGGGAGGAGCTTGAGGTGAACTAGTGATATGTTCACCTGTTTCCTCGTGCATCGAGTTTGCCTTTATTATAGGTATTGACTTATCTGCAGCTGCCCTGTGGCACAATCATGGGTGGCATGCCAGCTGTCCTGTGTAGGCTTGCTTGGTGCTGATGCTTTTGGGGAAGGAGTTTCCCCACTGCCTGTCTGGCTGTGTCATCACACCTTGGCTTGGTGCTGCACTGTGCCAGAGTTGGGGAAACGGAATTAACTTCACAATTCACATCATGCTGCTGTACTGGAGTAAGCCCGAAAGGAAGTATGCCCACATTATTCACTAGTATGTCTTTGTCAATAGGCCCTGTGCGGTTTCCCATGGCCATACCAACTCAGCCATGACATATGGCAGTTTTCCAGTGAAGTAACAACACGTTAGTTTGTGTGACAATATCATCATGGTCATGTGTTCCGACTCATAGCTTCAGCTGGTGCAAGTCATGGCGTGGCTTTGATTCAAAATTCCACACCAGATGAACAACTCCCTAGACCCGGGTACATCCGTCTCCTGGTCCCATGGCCATGCGGAAAGGACTGGACACCAGTCATGTGCAGCAGCGTAACATAAAGAAAATATTCAAAAATATGTTATTAACCACTGTATTCCTAATCGCGCTAGGATATACTTATGGGCGAAGTGGTGGCCCTCCGATGCGAACATCTTTCCTTGATGTGTTCTTCCTAAACACGCCAGGGGATGCGGCCGCGAATCAGGCTAACTTTCCTAATGTATGGGTTGTTCTAACATTCCGAACGATTATGGGCACCCTTCAGTCCCAAACGCCTGGATTTGGGGAGTTTGTCTGTCCCACATTTGGTTCAAAATCGCAGCCGCTCCTAAAAAAGAATATGTAGCAGGGAGTAGGTATTTTACTACTGTTGTACTTCCTGGTATGTAGAAGGGCCGACCAGATAAAGTGGTTCATGAAAAGGAATCTGAGACCTCGTAGCCATGACAATCGTTGATATTATTTCGAAGTACAGTACTAGTTGTCTAGCTAATCCACACTCTAATAAAAGCAAACAGCAGCGATTCAAGCGAGACAAGTGTTGTGGCAGCAACCAACAGGACGAGGCATGGCATGACACGCCCGTTGGAGAAGGATCGAAAGAAACAAGCTCAACTCTGAGGGAATAATGCAGTACCTACACTTGTAGTTGAATGAATTGATTCGATTACTGTTGAGTTGACTCATTGTCGATTCTTGCCAGTAGAATAATTACCAATGCGAAATGGACTATGTTCTAACGGTACATCGCTGACAATACGGTCTATACGGAATGGTTGCTACACGTAGAACAGTAAACACGGTGTAACCGACTAGACAGAATAGAATTTGAAAAGACTTTTCATATAGGATAGTACGGTTCATTTTTTTAAAACATTGCCTAAGTCAGCGGATTGATGCGAGACGTCATACACAGCCTTATCAACTGTGCGACATTGTCCGGTTAGCTTCACAGCAGCACAGCACTGGTCCAGGCACCAGCGAGAACAGCGTTGCAGGCAGATTGCTACAGTTGCATGAGCGCACAGCAGAGACTGATAAAGCGGGCATGGGAGTGCTGTTCCATCCAGCGGCTTCGCGCTCCCACTAGTCTGGGCGGCACTCGAGCAGCTGGTACTGTCCATCTCTACGTACCGACTCATTCGATGTTACTAGATTGTTACCAGCATGGGGATTGACCATTAGTACTGTGAGAAAGGTATTCCAGCCATGCAATGAAACGGCTTTGCTGCTAGAGGAGAATACACCTACATCCAGTGCCCTTTTTCTCGGCGGCCGCGTCCGGGTCGGGATGACTGTGCACGCGAATGACCTCCTGGAAGAGCTGCTGCAGGCCGATCTGCTTGAACGCGGAGCACTCCATGTACTTGCGCGCCTTGATCTGCCTGCCGAGTGCAAAGCCCTGCGTGTACGTGACTGGCGCTTTCTTCTGCTCCGCGAGGCGTGCAATCGTGTCGGGATCGTCGCGAAGATCGATTTTCGTGCCCACTAGCACAATGGGCACGTGCGGACAGTGTTTTGCGACTTCCGGGTGCCACTTGGATGCGATGTGATCGTAGCTGTTAGGACTGTCCACGCTGAAGCACAGCAGGAACACGTTGGTCTGAGGGTACGACAGCGGCCGCAGCTTGTCATAATCCTCTTGTCCGGCTGTGTCCCAGAGTCCTAAATTGTAGTGCTTGCCGTCAAGGATCATGTTGGCTGCGTAATTGTCGAACCTGCGCATTGTTTCAAGTCCAATAAGGGTGCAGGTGCGTGCACACACGCGCGCGCGCACGCACAGACACAGACACACACACACGCACACACACGCACACACACACACACACACACACACACACACACACACACATGGATGCACATAGTTCAAGTGTGCATCATTACTACATGCAATACGAGTCATACCTGGACCTGTACTAGTTAGACGGAGCTCATAGAATGCATGGTCAATTTTCAGAGCTAAGAAAGAGGTGTGATAAATCACATCAATCAGAGACACCCAGTTGCCAAGACATAGCCCGTGGCCGTTTGTGGGTGTACTGCACTGTGAGCACACAGTGGATACTTAGCTCAGTTCACACATTCAATAATAATGACTAATGAGACGTATGATTCAGCCTTGGTTGGTTTGGAGACTGAGCTACTGTATTGATCGACCGATTATTGTGCAGTTCAGCGTCTTCCCACTTCTTCCACACGCCCCATGTGCTCGTCAATGTAATAATAAGAATGAGTATGTTGAGGTAAGAAACTATCTACAAGGAAACTATCAAGTATCAACTTAACTCGTTTGACTCTCTCCCGAAGGCCATCAGTTCTCCAAACTCCAGGCAACTAATTGAAGTTCCACCGTACTTCCAACCTTTTTTTCACAACACTGTCGAAAATCTCTATTGATTCCATATCAGGGGTGTGGCAAAGCCATCAATGCAAGAGCAAGAAGTTAGACAAAGTCATGCCATTGGTACCACCACCATTCCCTAATATTGACCTGTGGCTCAGCAGAGATACTAATTTGAACAGCAATGAGAGCATTGGATTTAGGAGTCCACCCTATTAAGTGTCTGTTTCTTGGCGGCCATGGCCCGCAACACAGAGATGCACAGCTTGTTCATCATGTGCATAGTTCATGGCACCACAATCCACATGTTTTTTGGTTCCGATGCCCATCTGCCCCAGGCAACTATACCAACATAGGCCCCAATTTGAACATTTTAAATCATTATTTGAGGAAATACACTCACTTCACACAGTTGCAACCACAGCAGGCTAAAATTAAGCATATGATAGATGATCATCTTGAAAGTACACCCAATGCGTAGTGTCTGTTGAAAATATGCAAGTCCTGTATGACACGTTCCCTGACGTCGGCAGTCCTGAGACAGTCTGAGTACAGTGTAACATGTTACATGTGTCGGGTTGGTCACCCATGATCTACTCTGACTGTAGCGACAGTTGTGGGAAAACCTCTTGTTCGAATGAGATCGACATGGCACGGCCAGTGCTCGTCTTCTCTCCGTTATCGACTGTGCCTCCCCAGTTGACGTTAGGTGCCAGAACATAGATGGGTCTAGCCTCCTTGGGGCGCTGATTTCCTTCGCACTTAGGGACAGTGCGGGGATCACTGGTTCGGGTTTTTTATGAACGGTTTTAGGTCCTTTCAGCCTCCACCCGCCCTTGAAAGCTGTTTATCGTGGGGAAAAACAAGTTGTAGCCTTGGACGGCCCTAACTGGGAATCGAATTCGCAGTCTCCCATTTGGAACTGTTCTTCTCACCCGGGCCAAACAGTGCCAGTGTAAAGGATGCTCTGTCTCTACAAGGTCATCGTATAACTTGTGGGTTTGTGTTGCAACACTGCTATACCAGGTTGCCATGCGGCGAAGCCCGAGTCTGAATTCCCGCTTCGGCAACTCACTCTCTAGCACCCAGTAACAGGCTTTGCCTGTTTGCGGATAACCATTACTTTTTTGTCAGCCATGCGTCGTTATTGGCGTTTATGCCAAGGGATCATTTTTTTGTGACTTAACGTAGTCCGATCAGTGCTGCTCAACGAAATCCTGGCGCATGAACAAGCTAGCACGCTGCATCAGTGCATAGCCCAGTGTTCACTTTTCTGGGGTTGCACTGCGCCTGGCACCAAGCTGACTCACGATACCCAGATTTCATGGAGCAACACTACGGTACAGTAGAACCACAAGCTCGTACAGTACAGTAGCATGGGTCAATGAAATACAGAATCGTCCTCAGCTCGGGGCCGCAGTGCCGCAATTTAGTATGTGCGACCAGTGTACGCACACACTATGCCACCGTACGCCAGCCGCTACACCCCAAGACCCATGCGGCGCGCTACGCTTCATCGGCCGCCCCCTTGTATACAGTGAAACCTCAGTATAACGTACCTCCCGGGGACATACAAATTTGTATAGACAACTGAGGTCAAATGCCTGGAAAGGATAAATATATCCGAAGGCAAGAGAAAAGTATGCTTCAACCAGGGTACTTTTTACTGACCTGTTGCACTGCACATGCAGTATCAGATATCAGTGCGGGGCAAGGCAAGATGAAAGGATGCATGGCTGGTATGGGTGCAGTCATTGACATTGTCTGCAATTATGTAACTACCTGATTACTGCATGACTCCTGCAAGAAGATCGGAACTGCCACTGGATTTCTGATTTTTACTCACTACGAAGTCATAATGATTTCCTTTCTAACCGCCGCTTGTCACTAGTTTAAACTTTAGTTTAGTAACCACCGTACCTGGGCAATCTATTGCCGTGGCTGCGAACCTGCGATCAGGAGTGTACTTGTACATCCACGATCCGGGTGCACACTTCATCAAGGCGGAATTCCGTGTGTGGCTTTATCTACTATTTGAAAACTCGCCATTATGTCAATGACTTCTTTGGCAAGTATTCTCTGTTTCACGTCCATTCGCAACTCTTTTACTAGATCGATAACCCTCACAACACATGTACACACACGGACCGGTTTTCTTACACTGTTGGAATGTACTCGCCGGGAAACGAGTTGGTTGTGTAGCAGATGAGCAAGCACGTCTTTCCGACTGCTCCGTCGCCGACTACCACGCACTTGATCGCCTCCATGTCTTCGCACCAACAATAATCCGACTCCCGTGAACTAAGTTCTCGCGCGCTGTTGAGCTGCCCTTCGCTCACAGAGATTCTTCCGAACTCGACCGTTCACTCTCCAAATCTGCAGATGGCAGGGTTTCCACAGGAGCGGCAGTTCCTTTCACGGCACGCCTATGATGAGCGAACTGATCGAGTCAGGAGTGCGTTGCTGGCTTTGGCTTTGCAGCTTGAATTTCGACTTCCGCCCGTCGTTCAGATAGCCGCCGCTGGTCCGTTCTGTCAGGAAATTCAGAATGGCTTGCCAAGCAGCCACCGCACCTGCGACTCTGTACGTCGATTGACGACTGTGACACTTCTTGTACTAGTACTCCACACCACTCTGTCCGTACGTGTTGCGAAAGCCAGATGACAACACAAGTCACAATGGAAGACAACGACGGACGAGAGTACTTGACGAACTAAATCTTCTGATGATTGGTGTCGTAAACTCTGTGAGAATGCGCGATGCAAGCTGCAAACTACTGACTGTTGCAGCCTTTATCGCATGCACTGAGTCTGTGCTAGTAGTGGCGTTCCGTTTGGCTTCCTGATTCATTTGCACCTACATGTACCATGTCACCATGTGTACCTGCATTACATCTTGTGCATTCAGTTCTGCTGTGTGTTTTTTGCACCCGCACTGACCATCCTGACTAGTCAGTAGTCTGTATGTACGATATCACGCTCTCACGCAACTCACGGGCGCGCTAGCAAGAGGGTTATCAGTAATATGAATAAGTCTTGGCGCTAGTCTTCAGATCAAGCCGACCCGACCAGCACCAGAGCACTGGCACGAGTACTGTATCGAGTGTCCAACTCCAAGTACATGTACTGTAATAACGACGTTTATACGAACTGTCAACATGGTCATGTACTACTACTACGTGTACCATGGTGTACTGACGGTGCTCGTCGACGTCTGAAGCTACATGTACATGTACTTTAATTTTGTACGTCTACTTGCGCCGCGTTGTGGCAGTACATGTATAATACTGCTCTATGAAATCCGACCGTGAGCCAAGCACACGGCCACGCGGCACGCGCCAAGCGCTGTGCGGACCTTGACCTGCGAACACAGCACTGGGATGTTCAGTGTAGATCTACATGTAACAAGTTACATGGTGCAACTGAACTGGGCGCCAAGCTGACTCGCTACATGTAGATCGGATTTCATAGCAGCACTAACGAAGTCTGTGAACGCTTCGTCTGCACTGTGTAGTCAGTGTAGAAACTACACTCCACAGTGTACCGGTAGATTCTGTGGGGTACGCGGGTGTGGACTCGCAAGTACAAACCCTAATACTGTGAGTGTGAGTGTGACCAGGTGACTGCCGACTAGCGTTGTTGTGGTCAGCATCGACAGTCCTGAGTCCTGACCACTGACACAGATCTGCGCAGACTCAGTGGCAGAGTGAGACTCAGTGACCCTGCTGCGTACTGCACTGCTGGTCTGTGACTGTGAGTCGACTGGGGCTATTAAAGGGTTTGATTATTCGCAAGAAATTGCGTATTATTGAGATACAAGATACTGTTCTCGAGCATCAAGATTCAAATCCAAAAAATGATGCTATGCGAAAATTTTCTAAAACAGATTCAAAAAAATCACTAAAAACCCGAGAATTATCTACCCGTTGCCATGGCAACGATGACGTAACATAATGCATGACAGTGCTGAGCTCAGATCAGAGGCTGCGTGCACTGACGTCGACATTTTTCAGGCCCATCGTGGCACGTGATTGGTGCCTTTGCCGGGCTTTGGTCCCCCCAGATTTTCAAAACACCTCAAAAAGAGGTCTAAAAAAGGTAGAATTTGGCAAAATGTTCCGGAAAATTGTCGAATTTGCGAAAATTCACGGGAAAACAGCAAAATTCGAACAAATTCCAAAAATCCAAAAAAACACCCCATTATTCAAAAAGATAATCTGGAAACCCCTACTGTGGGCCGGGGAGTGTGGCCTCCTTGGTGACGAGGCCCATGAGATGTACGACGTGATGTTCTTTCTGACTTTCACTCTTTTGGCAAGTAATTTTACTATTTTTAGTTAGTTTTGCGAGTTCACTACGACACTGTAGTCTACTAGTGACTAGGTCACGTGTGTTACCACTACACGATACAATGTACCTACAGTTTTGTACATCCTTCTTTTTGGACTGTCTGCATTCCTGCCAATTATTATTGAATCTCTAGGCTAGCGGGCGCTTTTCATGATTAATTTTATGTTCGATCCGGATCCGAGATCTTCCCACGTCCACAGCCACGTTGTGTGCACGTGATCAAACAGGATTTCGTCAACAAGAGTTCTGTAGCAAGAAGAAACCATGAGTGTGTGTGTGTGTGTGATGTAGGTCACGATCCCGGAAATACAGGGGTGCTGGGCTCGAATCCCGCTCGTGGATCCTTCTTTTGCAACATTGACGCCCAACGTGGGGCTCGAACCCACGGCCCATCGTGGGGGGGGGGGGGGAGGAGTAGGTACGGCGTGAGGACACAGCCTGTTGGGGCGAGGGAGCAGTGTAGCAAGAAGGACCCATGAGTGTGTGTGACGTAGGGCACTGTCCCGGAAAGACAGGGGTGCTGGGTTCGAATCCCGCGCCTGGGTCCTTCTTTTGCAACAGTTCCGTGACCGTGAAGGACCCATGAGTGTGTGTGACGTAGGGCACTGTCCCGGAAAGACAGGGTTGCTGGGTTCGAATACCGCGCCTGGGTCCTTCTTTTGCAACAGTTCCGTGACCGTGGCCATGGTGACTACATCGGAACAAGTCTGTTTTCTTTTTTATGCAATGAAATCGAGGGGGTGCAAAAATCAACTCTGCAGGGGGCTGCGAAACTAACTAACTTACTTGTCTGGTTGCTCTGGCCATGATCGGACCAAGTCTTTGGCCACCATCCTTGCCTTCCCTTCCCTAGATGAGATTCTAAATAGGCACGTGGAAGTAGCACTTGAAGAATGTTAGTTAGTTGTTATTCTGTTCTGGCTCACTGTCACTGGCTCATGTAGGAACTCCTACTACTACACTGTAGTGTACTAGTGTGTAAGACGTGCATCGTTTTTACTTTCTAGTTGACTGTTCCTTGTCCGCTTTTCCTTTCTTTGTCATCCTCACCATTTGTATTTGTAGAAAATAAATAGGACCAAGGAACTACAAGTTACGCTATGATGTCCACTAACACCACCAGTTACTAAGCAATCAGCTCATGCGATAACATTGCACGACACTGACCGACGGTACTGACGTTCTACAACTACTTCAGAAGTAACTGGCTAACAGCTCTAGAACATCTTGGATGCGCACTCCAACAGGCTTCCAACTTGGAAGGTTCTAAGTTATAGAAATAACATAAGGAGGGGAGGGTGAGCGCAACCAAGATAAGCACGGGCTGAAAGCCTCAGCTGTGAAGGACGTTGGCGGATGTTCATGCATGTCGATGACGATACTGGCAAGACCATTGGACAATACAGTCAACCCACGATTCAAGGTTAAAGCAACAATTATTGTTACTTTGCGTCCACACAACTTGTGTGGCTCAAAAGATGCGAAGATCAATAAAAGAGATGTGCTAGAGCTGTTAGCCAGTTAGTTGTAGAACTTCAGTACCGTCGGTCAGTGTCGTGCAATGTTATCGCATGAGCTGCTTGTTTAGTAACTGGTGGTGTTAGTGGACATTATAGCGTAACTTGTGGTTCCTTAGTTCTTTTTCTTTTCTATAAATTAATCCTTGGCCCTCCATCCGAGTCCATTTGTATTTCTATTATATTTTATATTTCAAGGATATCCCCATGGCTCTAGGCCTGTCGAGGAGATCTCCTACTCAGCCATGATTTTCTTCTTTTTTCTACACCGTAGCCTCTATGTCACTCTCAGTAGGAAGTGTAGGATAATATAAAGGGGGAAAAAATTATCGTGTCCGTTCCCGAAGGGAACTCACGACGGCCGCTAACACCCGATAAACCCTAGCGGCAGATGCAGCGCCTAACGGTGGGGGTGAGTGGATAAGTCTCACAACCACTGGCACAAGTGCCGAAAACGACCCCATTAGCTGCATCCATGTACCCCTTGTGCCTGGCCACAAGTTCCCAGTTGACTGTGGGTAGCAGCACGGCTGGAAAAACCGATCCCAGGCAGGACTTGAACCAGGTACCTCTCATATCTCAATCATGGTCTTTGACCAACCCACTGTGCCTGCCTGGTCCATAAAGGGGAAGTGTACCCTAAAATCAAATTTTCACCAGTTGTAGTCTTCGGGTGCTGAGTCGAATGGTCTTGGTCCGAGGAAGCTGAGGCGCTCCCCTCCTCCTTTATGCGGCCCAATCAAACTCGCGCACTTCCACCGAAACTGGGTGACTGCGCCCTACTAGATGGGGATTTGTATGCAAAAGTCACTAAAAGCGCCGTTTCGTTCTTATAAAAGCACGGATGACCGCGATTGGTCCATATGTTGTAGTCTTTTGGACGCTGAGTCGACTGGTTTTGGTCCGAAAAGGCCGCTAGTGCGATGCTGCGTTTGGCCCTTATTCCCAATCGAACACGGGTGAGTAAGCGGTCGCGTGCTCATGCGTACACCAGTCGCCTGGTCGCCGTGCCTGCAGGCTACAACTTTCACACCAAGGTTCAACTCGAAAGTTCAAAGGTTCCACTAACTGTTACTTGAGTGATTTCCGGGTTTTTAATCCTTATGCTCGCTCAAATCAGTCTGCACCACGTACCACTGTGTATCATCGACACGAAAGAGAGAAACGAAGGCACTACGAAGAGAGAGAGTGAGACAAGTGGAGCATGCCACTTTTGTTCCGGCTGTGATGTCTGCGAGCGGAGGCATGGGCAAGGGAGCAACGGCCCTCTACAAACGAGTGGCCTCTCTGTTGGCGGCGAAAAGAGGGGAGCAGTACTCTCATGTGATGGCTTTCATCAGGTGCAGGATCGCTTTTTCCCTCTTGCGGTCCTGCATCATGTGCCTCCGAGGGTGCAGAAGGCTCTCTAGCCAGTCTGCCTTGCTGTGGGCGATACCTCTGCTGCGCTGGCAGTGGTAGAGGCCCGGGTACCGGCTTAGCGTGCACGAGCGGTAACAGTGACTGGAATATTGACTTGAAGTAGTTGAACTTGCTGCTGTTTACCTAAGTAGGTATAATATATGCCGTGCATTATTATGCTGTTTTTGTTTTTTTGCGTGTTTTTTCTTTCTTTTTTTTTCTTTCTAGAACTTTGAGTTGAAGATTTTGGAACACTTGGGAAAAAATATTCATTAGAGAGGTTAAGTTTCACGTAAAAGTCTTACGTCCGTGAACTTTTACGTCAAAAAGTGAAAAAACTCACGTAAAATTTGACGTGTTTTACGTGAGTTGACTGTCCCGCACGTAAGTTCATGACGTGAGTTTTTGGAAGTTTCGCTTGGTTATTCCGACCGAATTTGTGTGAGTTTCCGGAATTTTATCGAGTTTGTTGGAAGATTTGATATTTGTGCGAACTAAACCCGAATCCTGCCAGGCAAAATTTCACGTCATGTGGCACCAAGAGTCCATAACCCCCCAGGGGGGGGGGGGGGGGGTTATGGACTCTTGGTGGCACGTGTAACTTAACCTCTAAAAATTACACGTAACGTGAGATTTGCACCGCGTTTTGAAAAAGGGCAAAAAACGTGTAACTCAACCTCTCTATTGTGTTTATTTTACCCGTAAAAGAGGCTGAACTACTAACTTGAGTGACGGAAACGCTGTAAAAGTTGTTGTAGCCTGCAGGCTAGGCCTTTCCGGATTATGTGTTTGCATATTTTTGCATTTTGGGGGTCAAAATGCATTCTCGCACAGCGATAAGCCACACTCGCTACACACCAAACAACAGCACATTTGTATTGCAGTTAGGAGGGCCAGAAGTGTGACACCACGTTCTTTTACATGGAAGGATGCGGAATTGTAGAATAGCGGAAGAAGGGACAGAGCACATGGATATTCTGTGAAAGCAACGCAATGGCAACAACTGAGAGAGCAATGACCGAAAACCAGAAGCACCACTTGGGACCGTCAGATTAATTCGTCTGGGCCGAGCCAGCCGGGAAAAAACCCTCGCGCCGACGGACGCATTATTTTTTTGAGGGAAAAAACCGGGTGTAAAACCCCAAGTGGCTAATCTGACAAGTACAAAAAGCAGGGAGGGAGGGTGGGTACCTCAAGACGACTGGCCAGTCATGCTCATGCGCAGCGGTTTAGAGAACATGTGAAGATGTACGAGTAAAAAGAAATTGATCAGATGACTGCTCACTTGTGAGAAAAAAAAACACGAGAAAAACCGCTGTGACGAGAAAATACTTCTCGCCTCTGTCGCTGCGCTCTGCCGTCGAGAAGATACCATTTTGTCCATTTTGACCCACTTTGGGCCAGGGAGTCGTAAAATACCGGTATTTTACGACTCCCTGCAAGCGATAGGTACTTCAAGATCACCATGGTGCCAAATGTCACGCGACTAGCTGTCGCCATTTTGTTACTATGGCAACGGTGGCATTTTTTGTGCTTTTTGGGTAAATTTTTGCATTTTCTTTAGAAAAAAATTTGATTTATAGGGGTTTTTTAAAGCACTTTCCATTTCCATTAGACCAAGAAAAAACGCATAATCCGGAAAAGCCTACTGCAGGCACGGACTCGGTGCACCGGTGACCAGGTGCAGGTGGCTGGTGACGGTGTACGCATGAGCACGTGACGGCTTACTCACCCATGTTCGATTGGGCACTGTAAGTAAGGGCCGAACGCTGCATCGCAGCTTTTTCGGACCAAAACCAGTCGACTCCGCGTCCAAAAGACTACAACATATGGACCAATCGCGGTCATCCGTGCTTTTATAAGAACGAAACGGCGCTTTTAGTGACTTTTGCATACAAATCCCCATCTAGTAGGGCGCAGTCACCCAGTTTCGGTGGAAGTGCGCTAGTTCTATTGGGAATAAAGGAGGAGGAGGCCTCGAGGGGAGCGTCTCAGCTTCCTCGGACCAAGACCATTCACACTCTCACAATAATCATGGTAGACCTGCTGACTGTATCTCAACTACACGTACATGACGTACTTAGCAGTGCGGCATGCAGACTGACAAGTGACATGATGAGTGATGTCGATGACACCATTTTCCGGATTTAGTGCAGCGTGCCCACGTCCAGGTACTAGGTCCACGTCTCGCACTCGATGATCAGATGATCGCTCGTAGATTAATCTACGACTGGAAGACGCGCCCTCGACCTGACCATGCTGACCGCGGTGTCATATCGTGTCAGTCCGATTTCTGCTGGCTCAAGACAAGGCAAGTCGGCTAGCCAGTCTCTCTCAGCTCAGTGAGTCACTGCACAGTGCAGTGAGTGACTAAAAATATTATTTTAGTGGGAAGACTGATCTGTACTGTCAAGTGTTTATTAGGCGCTAGCGCTTCTTCTGATCATGTCATTTATCGAAAATTTAGTTTGGTGGACAGCGTAGAGTCCGCATGACACCAGTGCAAGTGGCCACCGGTGTCAGCATTTTCAATGATTTGTGCTTCACATTGTCATTGTTGCAGCTCCGGTCTCGAGATCTCGAGCCTGGGTTGAGTTTCTTTTTCATGGAGCGTTTATAAGCACCGTGTCCCTTTCATTCCAGGAGCGGTTCGTCCTTCTGCTGAAAAATTTGGTGACTACGGGCCGAAATAAGAAAGGAGGCGCTACGACATTATCATTGAGCACTACAAGCTGCGTGGTTGGATTTATGGTTTGTGATTTGTGGCGGGCTTGCCGTGCTGTGTCAGAACATGACGTTCTCCCTCCCAGCGTGATTTCTTACTTCAAGTAACAGTTACACAATAATCATTGGTTGCGGCTGGGTAATCTCCTAGATCATGGATCGCAGTGGCAACAGTGCTGGGCGCGACGCCGTGTTAGTACTAATAGTAATATGTAGCGAGCGGCTTGCTGCTGCTGCTCGTGATGACTGCACTCACGCAGGCAATATAATAAAGCGGCGAGTTTTGCTGCCAGCTTGAGCAGTAGTGGGTGAGCTGGTGGTCCACGAGACACTACCTGGCGAGGAGCAACAGGTCTGAGGAGATCACAATGAAACTGATGAAGGCCCGTTCCTCTGTAGCTATGGCCTTCGCGCGAAGAACATTTCGTCAGTTGCGAAAACGCCTGACTAAATCTAGCGGTTCACTCGCCGAAGCAGAACTAAACAAGGCCAGGGAGCTGGAGCGCGGATCGACTGTGGCACCCGGCTCCGAGTGTTATCCTGGAATCTCATCTCGTGTCAAGCGGCCATCAAGTCCGAGCCGAAGGCGAAGCTCGACCAGTAGTCAATGGTCAGCGCACTCATTCTTTCAACAGTACCGAGACGAAGATGAGGCCATCTTGGAGGATGGCATGGAACGCCTGTGTAACGACATGGAAGTTGACCCGTGCGATGTTCGTATGCTGGCCTTGGCATGGCGACTGAATGCTGCAGAGATGTGCAGGTTTAGCCAGGAGGAGTTTGTGACAGTGTGTGAAGAGCTCGGCGCGTACAGTGCTGCCGAACTGGGCAAGCAGCTTACTGGCATCCTGTACGAAGCACGGCGGCATTTCAAGGACTTCTACCGGTACGCGTTCCGCTTTGGTGTGAGCGATGGCCAGCGTAGTCTTCCGTGTGACGTGGCCGTGCAGCTGTGGAGTCTGGTGCTGCCGGTGTGCAGTGGTGATGGCGAACGCTTTATGAACGACTGGTTAGAGTACCTGACCAGTCAGCGTGTCAAGGGGATCAGCAAAGATTGCTGGATGGTGTTCTTGGAGTTCACGCTGACCGTGGAGAAAGACTTCTCGAACTACAGCGCCGAGGACTCGTGGCCTAGTCTGCTGGATGAGTTTGTCATGCACCAGCGATCTGTACAGCCGGCGGTGGAAAGTGTAAGCGTATAGGTCAGTGCTGGGTTGCTCAGTATGGTGGCGTGTGGTTAGGACATCCAACACTGTGGGCTGACCGTACCCACCTGGCATAGCGCGCTGATGTGGATATTCTCCACATTGTACAGTCTTGCGAAGTACATGTCTATTTTTTGAAGTATTTTCTGCTGGTAGCATCTGACGTAGCTGATAGCGCCTAATAGTAGTAGTTCTCCTAATAGCTATGTTGCTGTGTTGTGTATATATTATGTACATGTGCTGGGATAGCCGGCCTTTGGCAGTCAGCATAACTGTGATGTGTATGATAATTATTGCCAATGTACAGCAGGTCCCTGGTTCGAGTATTGGTCATATTAAACACCGTAACAGTCAATTTTTCTACAGACTTTTCCCTGTTTGCATCTTTTTCCCTCAAACCAATCAATGTACAGCTCTTATAATTTTTTGAACTCTTTTGTTACATGACATTGTCTTGATGTTGGCAAAATGCTGTGCACACTTGAGACATGTTTAGTTATGCTGTACGGTGTAATGCTGATGCCTGATTGCGATCCGTGCCACAAAAGCTCATGGTGCAGGGAGAATATTTCAACTCATTGTACAGTTGACTTGGCAGGCTTATCCCTACATATTCTAGTCTTGCATATCTGTCAACGGTGACATCTGCTAATTTATGAATCCACCTCACAATGTGGTACCGTAGGTGTGTGCAGTGCATCATACAGCACTTGTGTGAGTGGGGGGGGGGCTGTGAGTGGCGGGGGGGGGGGGGGGGTTGGGCAGTGATCTATTGATCACATCTTGACGATGTCAACCATCAACTCTGTCAAAACCAGCAATGGTGTAGTGTGCAGAATTCGAGAAAAAGCAGGGGGGGGGGGGGGTTAGGCCAGGTGGCGGGGCACTGAGTTTTACTAATAATTAATTTTGACTTTATTGGGTTTGAGGCCCCACGTGACAACAGGTAGCTTAGTTTTCAGCCACCTATTGGTCTACGTTGCCTCGCCTAATACCAGGCATTGGCGGGGCAAGTATACTAAGTGCAGCGAGGACAGCAATGGTCAGCCCCTTGTACCAATTTCTTAGCCTGTGACTAGGAGCATCGTACTCGCATGTCTATCGTTGACATCTTTTAAATAATATCATGGGTGCTGCAAGATGACTTTACTAGTCTACAGTGATGGCGTTGGTGATAGTTGTAATGTTCAATATTGTTTACAACTTTACATGTACATGGGTTCATTTGCCCACAGATTGATTACATGCACTGGGGTATCGGACACGCTGGCATACTCGATGGTGCAGGCACCAAACTGTTTTCTTCCGGGGAAGCCTCATCATGGCAGATATGAGAACATTATAGTATACATAGAACTGATTTTCCAGCCAATGGCGACACGATCCCGCACTACGTCGCTGCATGTACCAGTATTCTAGCGGGTGTGCTTGGTGTGGATATGCATATCACTTGTTGGGGGACTTGGTGCCTGGACATGATGCCGTTTGCTATGGAGAGGGTCAAATGTCTTTGGCTCAACTGCATTGCCACTGGGATTGCTCAAAGTACGGAAAGTGGCGAGCGAAGTATGAAGCTAAACGGCGCAAAGCACATCCTAGCAAGAATACTTTTTGGCCAACTATCAAGGGCATTGATTGCCATTCCTTCTTGTTGTTTGTGTGAAATAATGTGCTGGTGTGAAGGTTATTGATTCTTTGACCCTTCAGTCTTGAACAGCTTTTCCCATTTCACATACTGTGTTGCTGTAACAATGGGTTCAGGCATATTGATTCATTTTCTGGTGTGGTAGCCACAGCATGGGCCACAGCATGGGCCGCAGAAATGTTCTCTTACTTTGAGAAGTGTGTTTTGTTGATGCAAAACTGCCTTAACCCTTCCTGGCTTTCTCTTTGTGTCTTTCTTATGTTTATCAGACTACCTTCAAGACGAGGCAGCGGGGTGGCTTCAAGCCGAACAGCAGAGGTGGCTTTGACCATCACGGAGGATGTAACTTGAATAGAAAGAGGTCGAGCGGCGCCAGCAGGCCGCCCAAGCCTGACCCGGAAGTTGTGTATGCTGCCGGTATGCCTGGTAGATGGACAGCAACACAATCTAGCAAGCCGCTGGACGTGTTATGGCAAAGCGAATGGAGTTCAGAATACGTACCCAAAGTGGAGACGTACTGGCTTGAGGTGATCTCCACGTGGCATCAGAGTAACTCCACGGCGGCATTGCGTGCCAAGACAGCAGGAGTGAGCACTCCCAGCTCTCCTCCGTCCACCACCTCTGCTAGTAGCAGTGCTACGAGTGCTGGTGCTGCAACTTCTAATGGTTCAGGAGTGGCTGGCAGCGTGGAAGATGCTAAGCGCCATTGTGTGGCGGGCGACGAGGATCAAAACAAAGCATCAAGCCCATCTGATGCGGAGCCCGGTCACTCCTCCTCACCAACAGTATCATCAGTCGATACTTGTGGCAGTGCTTCACTTGGCCAGGACGGCATCAAAGAATGGCACGACATTCTGGATTCGGGCGAGACCGTCGAGAAGGTCTGGTCTCATTTCTACCTTTCTCAGTATGAGGCATGGCGTGAGGTGTGGATGTCTGAGCAGAAAGAGAAGCTTCAAGTTGGCATTGACGTGTTGAGTTTACTGAGAGACGACAGTGATGAGGACAATGAAGACTGTGATGGCAACTCAATGGAAGGTGAAGACATTACTGAGGGCATGCCGGATGCGGCCACACTGATTTCGAAGAGAACAAGCGACATGGAGGACGGCGAACTGAGCGACTCCGATCCAGAGCAAAAAGACTGCATACTGACGTCTTCCAAGTACGTAGCGTCTTCTTCCGTGTCTGGTGACGTGTCTCACTCTGATGGTGATGATGATGACGATGATACGTTTGACGGTAGTAGTGATGGTGAAGAACTAGTCGTTGAAACACCAATGGACGATAGTGACCTAGGAGGTATGTTTGCACGCATTAGTCCTCAGCCCGGTGATGACGGTGGCGAAGACGAGGATGCCGATGGCGATGATGGTGAGTATTACGATGAAGAACAAGAGGATGGTGATTACGAGGCGGAGAACGGAGCAGCAGGAGAGCATGGTGATGATGGTCCGAATGCTGATGAGCGGCGTACTCGCTCAACTGATAAGCCGGCCGATGCTTTGCAAGGTATGCCATTAATTTTGCTTGCTACTGTCATCTACATGTGCTTCGAGTCTTGGGTCCCTTTACAGTAAAGCAGCTTGAAAATGCACAGTGCCCCAGTCATGCAATGGATGAAGAAGTTGAACTCAAGTCAAAGAAATTGTGACACCAGGTCTATAGCGCGTTTGCTTGTGCATGAAGTAAAGAATAAATCGGGCTTAGGGGTCGTCCGTATTTTTCGAAAAATTAAAAGATCCGTCCTCAGGCAGAAAGGGGGTGGGTGGTCAAGAGCGCTGGCGGAATTTAATTTTTGATTTTTCGTACTTTTTTTTCAGTGACTTTCATACACGTGTTGCACTGACAGGTCGTGCACTGTAGACGTAGTGTAGGATCGCAAACACCAGTATGATATACCGGTACATGACTCTTCATGTAGTTGTAGGACGTGCATGGCCGTCGGTAGACCTCCTACTCACTTTACTTACATGTAGCTACTAGTAATTGACATACATGTACATGTAGGTGCAATCAGTGAACATGTGGTCAGGAGTTCTTATTTTCGAGCTGGGCATCGGTAAAAAATCAAAAAATCAATGGGAAAAATGGGGGGCGGGTAGGTGGGTCAGAGACAATTTTGCACGAGGACGGATTTTTTAATTTTTCGATAATTACGGATGACCCCTTATGTAGGTAATCACCGTAATATAGAGGTTCCGCACTGTGTAAAGTTGAGCAACTTTACATAAGTGGGTGGGGAATACCCGTGAATTCGTGAGAACTTGAGAATATTAACACACTCCACACTTGATTCGTGCCCCCCCCCCCCCCCCCCCCCCACACACACACACCATCTCAAACATGACTGTCTCACATCAACTTTGCACTTGACGAAATGCCCACTTACATTGTTCTGTCTTAGTGCTAGCTTGTAACTTGCTGCATGCTACATGTAGTAATGTGAATTCTGGGTAACCTCCCGCGACAGCGCGTCCATGTTAGCGCGGTGCACTTCAGCACGACCACCTTAGCGCGAGGCATTTCAGCTCGGTGCCATTTCAGCGCCGTGTCTTGACAGCGCCAATGATTTCAGCGCGAAATTTTTAAGCGCAGGACATGTCAGCGCCATTTCTTCAGCGCAGATTTTTCCGCGGGAGGCACTTCAGCGCCGTACATGTTAATGTACGTACGGGCACCAATTAGCCGGCAGCCGGCATGCAGGAACTTTACAATGCTGGTGGTGACCTACAGGACTGCTGTCGTCAACTGATGGCATTGCCATTCCTGCCAGAAGACCAGGTCACAGCCGCCTTCGATTGGTTGGAGGAGATCGTCTCTGATTTAAATCTTCAACAATTGACAGATTACATGCGGACACAGTGGATTGAGAATGCTAACGTTCCGATGTCGCTGCCATGGAAGGGAAGTCAGGACCAACAACGGTGTTGAGGGATGGCACCATCGATTTAGCCGAAAGGTGAACACCACCCACCCCATCGTCTGGGTGCTGTTGGAGCAACTGAAGAAGGAGGTTTCGCGTACGGAGCTTCTTGCCAGCCAGATGCAAGCTGGCCAGCGTATCATAGTCGGGAAAGCTTCATACACTCGACTTAACGATCGAGTTCGTGTCCTGGAAGTCAGACGTGCAAATGGAGAAATCACTAATTTTGAATTTTTTTCGAATGTTGGTCGACTTCTTCATTTCTAATCTACGGATTCTCTTGTCATATTGCTATTGCCTACTAAATAATTCAAACTATGTGAAAACAAGTTTGTCACAGAATCACCAAATCACCAAATCCCGATAGCGAGAGTGCAGACGAGACCACTAATTCCGTGCGTACGATAATGCGTACGATACTGCGTACTATAGTACGCGCGAAAGTGCTTCGCGTTGACATATATGCGCTGAAGTGCCTGGCGCTGACGTTGCCTCGCGCTGACAGTACATCGCGCTGAAGTGCCTTGCGCTGACATTACCTCGCGCTGAAGTGCCTCGCGCTGAAGTGCCTCGCGCTGAAGTGCCTCGCGCTGAAGTGCCTCGCGCTGACACTACCTCGCGCTGAAATGCCTTGCGCTGTAGTGGACGCGCTGTCGCAGGATGGAATCGAATTCTGCCCATGTACTGTCTTATATCAGCCATCTTTGTATCTTCTCCTATATCTCCGATGATGCCCTCCTGAGTGAAAATTTGGAAAAAATCGTTATACGTGGTGTAGCCAAGGACTGTTCGTGTTTTGCATATTGTGTCTGGTTATGCAGAAGGAAGCATGGAAGCTGCACCAGAACGACCCAGCAAACGCAGGTACGCATGCACTGTAGTAATAAAAATGGGTGTGGTATTGCTGGGCTTCATCTACAGAAGAATCCGGGTGCTAAGTGACATCCTCTGCAATAACAGACCACCTGTATTTAGAGCCGCCTGTATTTAAAGTTCACCTGTATTTAGAGGCCAGTCACACCAGGGCCCTACCATGTCACCGCATACGTTCAAACATGCAGTTTGTAGGACCGCCTGTCTATCATTTCCTTTTGAAACGAGGTCGGCCAGTGAGCACACGTGTGGCGGGGAGTTTGAACTAAATGATGTACAGGCGGAAAGCTGTTATTTACCCTCCTGACTCCGCGTACAGGTGATCTTATCCCGACTCATTTTTAGAAGTGGAAATGAGTTCGAATGACATCCTCCGACTCTGGCTCTAGTGGTCCTTTAGGACAGGTGGTCGCCTCATCGAGTTGTCCCGGGCCCCTCGACATGGTTTACTCTAAGCGGCATGTGCCGTCCGAGGTGCACTCTGTTTTGATTTTGCACACAACAGCATAATGAATATGCTGCAGCAGTCTACCATGGTCTACTGCCTGCTCTTGCCTAGTTCAAACGTCGGATCATCTGAACGCCAGTTGTGCTTCGTTCTCCGGGTGATCAATGATCCGATAATGTTGTGCCGTAGCTAAACTGTATCATGCTGGCTGAGGTGGTGCATGGTACTTGTTGTTGTATTCATGTACATGTATCTGCCACTATCTGGACGACGTACCTGCTGTGCGTCAGTTAGCTGTTTCTAGACATTGGGGAGTTTTAGCAGCTCGTAAACGAGAGCAAAAACGAGTGACAGCCATTCGTTTTGTGCGCGCGTATCCGTTGCGTTTAGTTTTAGCAGCTGGTTCACCCCTCGTAAACCAGGAACTGAATGCACATCACTGTAGTTGATAGTCGATATGCGCTAGCAGTTTACTTGCACGGCAACGGTGCGCTTAAATTCATACCAGCAGGGGTCCGGATCTTGTTCAGAGCGTGTTGTACGAGCGTAGAGGAAATCGAATTAGTTTGGCGTCGCGGCTGAGCTTGTCTAAGCCAAGCCGAGGGTGCGCCGCCAAGTCATGCGCACCACGGGCTTTCCCCATCCAGTGCCAAGGAAAAGGCAATTTCCTCCTCATCAATGATCTTCTCGCCGTATGCCAGAAGATGGACACAAGCCTCGAAATCATCCACCAGCGAAAGAAAGCAAGAATAAGGATTTGAACTTCAAGTTGGAGCTTCCCTCTTCTCGAATCAAACTCTTTTGTTGCTAAAACTCTCTATTTGTTTTCCATGTGGTATTCCTCATTTTGTGTGCTGGTTGAAATGAGTGCAAGTTTTTTTTTAACGCCGATTTCTGACTGTAGTGGGATTTTTACCTGTCTCCTTTCCTATCTGTGCCACTGTTGCTCACTGCATACAGAAGATCTGAAGGTGCCAAGGATGAGTAAGTGTGCGCAGTGTGTTCTGCTATGTTGTTATGCTGTTGTCCTTTCCTTTTTTACAGGCCTATCTGGGAGGCATAGCATGTAGGGAGATGTCACAAGATCATAGTACCCGAAACGATGTACGGTTTTTTTACCCCGGGTTTTGAAGTTCTACGAGATCCCGTTTTCTATGGAACACGCTGTCATGCCTTGACCTGCTGACGCTAAACACTGCCCAGACCAGGGATGCCGTGTGCCAAGATGCATAAATCGGCTCTGCCCCAAGGGCGACCCGAACGGGCAGCCCGGGAGCAAAACCCACATCGTTTTACATTCCAGTCGAGCATGTTGTCTCCCTAGACTCTTAAACGCCCTGATGTACATGTACATGTATATAAGAACGGTTTTTGGTGATCTCCAGTAGCAGCTGCTTACTGTAAAGTGGTGAGTGCTAGTAACAGGGTAACACACCACCCTTCTCCTTCTCTGTGTGTGCTCTGTAGTTGTGAATCATCAAAGCGTGTGCGCACTGTCAGCTCATCAAGCTCAACGATAGCTGTCTCGC